GGCATTATTTTAAATTTATACTGAGAGGTCTGTTAATAAACTAATTGGAATAATCCCAGGTAGATTCCATTCAATAATATTCTTTTGTCTTTAATTTTTAATTTTGTTAATTTGTTATGGCAAAAACTTTTCACACAAATAATTTATAAGTTTTCAACGTTCACAAATACATTATAAATATTTTTATATTTAAATGTGTTTGAAGTTTTACTAGTTTTAGAATCATAAACTAGGAGTCATACAAAAATGTATTAAGGTACAAATGTATTTAATTTTAATTAATATTATTTTTACATATTCTAAAATATTTTCTATATTTATAATGTCGTTTGAAGTTTTATTAGTTTAGAATCATAAACTAGGAGTCGTACAATAATGTAAAGGTACAAATGTATTTAATTTTTAATCAGTGCAAATAATATTATAAGGTAACTATGTGCCAACACTTAAGCCTCCCAGTATTTAATAGAACATGAATTCTGTTAAAATTCTGGGAATAAGATCTCCATTTTGAAAAAAAAATTATATTGACCAATATTTTTCAGAATAATCTGCATAGCAATGCTCGTCACATAATTGCTTAACATCAGATACCTTTTCCTAAATGAATTTTTTTGTTTTTAGTTATGTATAACTGCAAACATTTAACCTTCTGTTTGCATGTGCCCCTTGCATGTAATTACCTAATTCAATATCAGATATCACAATCAATTTTTGTTTAAAGAGGAGTCAAAACTTTTTATGTTTTTTTTTTTTTTTTTTTTTTTTTTTTTTTTTTTGTGTAAAGAATACGTAATTTTTCCAAACATAAGTATAGGAACCAGAAGAATATACAATAAGTTAGACTTAATCTTTTAAATAAAATATTTTTTTAATTTAAATATCTGAAAACATGAACCTTTTATTAATTTAAAACATTTTTGTAATTGGAAGTCTAAATTTATGAGCAAATATTACAAAATTAAAGGGCTGGGTAAGGATTTTTATCTGTAAATCATTTCGAATTCGTACATAAACCAACTTCCAAACTCCAGAGGTTAAAATCTGCAAAACTTCTGCAGAATAAATGGTAATTAAAAATCTAATTCATTTTAATTTTCCAAAGCTTTCTGAGTTTTATAGAACCTAAAAGAATAAAAAATGCCTTCTGAGAACTTCTACAAGCTGCAGTCAAAACAATTCTCCACTTATCCTTTATTAATAAATACTTAAGGGCTATGAGCTTAAAAAAGAAGTCTGCCGCTAATGAAAGGTGCTATGTTATATAAAAACCTTGGCAAATACAATATCTTAATTTTCTTATTTATAATGATAGTTTAAATATTTTCAAACTAATTTCTATTTCATAAAAAAACAGTTTTAAATGCCTGTTATCTTGACAAAAGTTTCTACATTTTTAATTCTTTGTCTCTAATGCAATGAACAAAATACCTTTATTTTGTGCACATATAATTCTCTCTCATTAAGAAATATCTATTTTTCTCACTTTCTTATGTTTTAGTTCTTGCGTTTCATTTGTTGTATGTATATTTAACTTTACTTTAAAAATTGAAGTACGTAATAAAAATGCATCACTATCAATAATTTTTACACATTCAGCTAAAAATATTCTGATTTTTGAAGAGATTTTCCTGCAATTTGCCTTTAATAAAAAATTTGTTAAAATATCCATTGATTATGACTTTAAAATCATATATAAATTTGTATTTAAGTTTTTAGAAAAAAAATCAAACATATAAGCAGCTTTAAAAATTACCTAATCACTGGTTAACTATATCAAAACTACTCTTTTTCTTAAGTCTTAAATATGCTGCTTAGAAGTTATTTTATATTGTATAAGTAACTACAAAAATATTTTCAGACATGATTTCACAAGAAATATTCCATTCATTTCATTACTACCATTCTCTTAATGCCTATGTAATACAAATGCTTTTTATATTCATTATCATGCTTACCTGCCCCTCTTGTTACTTTGATCATCCTCTAAGCTTACTACGCAGAATGACTACCTAGTAAAAATTATTCCTAACTTAAGGAAATAAAATATACTAGATTTCGAAAGAAGTACTAAAATTTTATTTGCTCTGTTTCACTACTTTTATGGTAATTTATGAATGTCACTGTTTCATTATCATACATGACTTCAATGTTAAATTGCTAAATTAATATTAATGCATGTCCAGCAAATATCAAAAGGAAAATATCAAAACGTCTTTCATTTTAGCCATTTATGAAGCTGAACACTTTTGGTTACCTGATTTTTTATTTGCCTTAAGACATTTAGTTGTTAAAAATATATAATTTATGTACATATATATTTCATTTATTAAACATGCTAATTACATACATTCTTATGTATAAGGGAAATCGGGAATTATTTGTCATTATTTTTTAAAAATTTTGTTAAATAATTTAGCAAATAGTAAAATTTATCACTGAATAATAATTTATTCTTTCTGAATCAAAATCAGTCATTCTTTAACCCCCAGAGTAGCATGACTGCCTTTATCTCCTCAATTTTTTTTTTTTTTTTTTTTTTTTTTTTTGTCACTTGGTATATATTAGAATTTATTTAAGATATTTTGGTTTCTTACTTTCTTTAATAACGTAAATAACATCTTGATGAATATAAGTTTGTGAAAACAGACTAAAATAAGAAATTATAGAAATTTATCTAATAAAAGCTGTTTAAAAGGTCTCCATAAGCAGATCCAAATGGCTGTACCACTCAGATGGTTAAGAAAGTCAATTTCTAATTTAATTGTTATTTATAAGGAGTTTGAATTCTTACTGTTGACTCAGAGAGAGCAGTAGGTGTACTGGAATAATGAACAGTGACACAAGATGTATTTAACACAAGTGACACAAGATGCATAATGAACAGTGACACAAGATGCATAATGAACAGTGACACAAGATGTATTTAACAGTAGAAACATTATGCTTCCATATACGTGTGTGACTTTCGAGTGGAGTGAAAAGAACATATTTATCCTTGATCATGGGGCGGGGGCTTGTATCTACAAAACAGCATTTGTGAAAAGTCTTACTCCCTTTCTTTCATATCAAGAAATCTGCTGTGGAATGTTGTTTGGTAGAGGAAGCATATATGGAGAACATGCTTGTCGAAAACAAAGTGTGCAGAATTGGTTTCAATAATTCAAAGGCTATGATTTTGCGGTGAGTGACAAAATGCATCATGGTCAGTGAAAAAAAATTGACAATGGACAGTTAGAGACCTGACAGAAGATTCATCTCAGACACTTAAATGCGACTGAAACACTAAATCTCAGACTGAAAGACTAAATGTGGATGCATAAACTGTTCATAAATGTTTAAAAGTAATTGAGATAATTCAGAAATTAGGAAAATGGTTACTGTATGAATTGACAGAAAGATGTTATGAAATACTTAACCATTTGTCAAACGTTGCTTCAAAGTCAGAAATGGAAGTCATTTCACTTTTTTTTTTTTTGCATGAAAACATAGGTGCATTCATTGAAAACCATCAACATCAATACCAGATAGCCATGGCAAGAAAATTATGTAGTGCATTTGGGGAGATCAAATCGACATGGTGTACTATGAAACGGTTTATCCAGATCAAATAATGAATGCTGAATTACAAAGCACAGTTACACGGTTTGAATCGTGCACTTCAAGACAGATACACACAATATGCTAAGACCTTTACGGCTGCGAATATGCATGTAGGCATGCGCATGATACGTTAATACGTTTACGAATGCACGTTTAATGTATAATGGACGGTATAAGCTAAGCTAAAATTATCTAATTCATTTAATGTTGCAGATTGCGTTGTTCCTTAATCTTCGAATTGGATCCGGCTTATTATTTTTTGCAGACTGTTAGAGCAATTTTATAAAAGTAAGCTTGAACTTTCGATTATGTCAAATAGAATTTCCAATATATATTTACTATAATATGTAAAGGATCTACAAAGCGAAAATATGTTTCGAAGTCCATTAAACAGAAAGTGGAATTGCTGCAAAAAAATGGATAAAGGCATATACTTTGATTATCTAATCATTCTGAAATATGTTTATTAATTTCACGCTGCTCTGCGGGGGGAGGGAAACGACGCGGCGCGCAATGAATTGGAAGTTGATCTGTCAGCACTATCCTTATCTTCAGGGCAGATGTTTTTATTTTATTTGGCTTATAATTCCTTACTAAATGTAGTATTTCATCTCGATGTACTCCGTCTTTGAGATGATTTAAATCAAGTTCCTCGTCATTATAATTCGTTTCCATTAGTGAAGAAAGTGACACAGAGGTTATTGAAAACGAAAAAATTTCGATTGACAAATTAGTCAGTATTCTCGACACAGCAATTATAGGACTTGAACAGCGGAACTTTGTAACTGAACAAGAAATTATGTCTGTTTATAGAATTAAAGAGAAAGTATTATCACATGAAACGAAGCAACTTAAAACAACTTACATTGAAAGAAATGCTTAATAAAGTAAATAAATATTAAGCTTTTTCTTTTTGTAAATTTTGATACCCTTTAGGTCATAATTGTTCTTTATTTCATAAATTACGGTTTCATATTTTTAATTTTATAATTTCTGCATGCCATCTTACCAGATTTAAACTGATGATCTATAATCCGGAATCGCCGAAGTCCCGACAAGTCCGTATTAACGACTTTTGACTGTATTGGTATTTTAGATTTGGTGAAGTATTTTACATAAGAATTTATATTTATAATCGGAAGGCAAATTTATGAGAGTCGCACTAAATGTCAGAATCCCGCATAACTGTTGGTTAGTATTACAAAATAATCATGTAAATGTATGGGATATAACCCGCAATTACTTAAGGCCTAAAAAATAGAAATTTATAAATTAAAAAATAGAAAATACTTAAGACCTAAAAATATAAGACAGGATAGTGTAGAAAATGAAATTATATTTTAAAGAAAATTACTTTAATTTGCGATCAGGTATTAAAAGTGATAATGAAATCTTACCTTTGTTGAAAAACTGCCACCAGGTACAGGATTACCACCAAATTTCACACTTATGGTATAATCCCCAACTTCTTTGACAGAATAGAAAATTGAGAAGGTCCCATCACCATTATCTTCAACTTTGATATCCACATCACTGGTTGTGTTAGTACTAGTAATATGACAAGTAACTGCACCAGTTCCAGCTTGATCTGCATTAACAGTAATGCAGTATTCCTCACCAATAGCAACCTTCTCCTGAATACCCTCTGAAAACAATTATTTCATTTTTAAATTGCACTAATAGTTCAATGAAATTAAAAAAGGATAATCATGTAGCTAATGTGTAAACAGTCAACTATACTAAAAAGGTTAATCATATTACTGCTTTTAGTTAGTTATTTTTTTTTTTTTAGATAGTGGCACTAAAATTGATTTTTGTTTTTAATATTTCTTTTGCCCACCATTTTACTGCACACTTGAATTTTAAAATAGTGTTTTAGTAGCACCATCTAAGAAATGAATAAATAACTAAAACCAGTATATTGCATACTACACGATTATATAAAAAAAGCACTTATAGTTCATAACATAAATCATATTTCCTAACATTTCAAAAAACAATATTAATTCTGTTCATATTTTAATTCTCAATGTTTATCAAATTTTTAAATGAAAAGCATAACATAATATAATACAGTGGATTAAATATAATCAATCAAAAGCACACTAATACTACACTGCCACACAATTTTCAATATCTGAGATATCCAGTGTGCCACTGGAACAAAGCTGCCCGATATACAAATTCAATTAAAACATTAACCAAGCATCATAGGAAGAAATCTAGCAGATGAAACATTCCACTGTACTAAAAACTAAATATGGTTCTTGTTGAAATTCTTTTTTTCTCCCAATGGAGTGAATTTTTCTTTTATTATTTATCTTGTTTGTCACAGACTAGGTCATGTGACCAACGGCAGAGAAAGAATGAAAAACCTCTTTTTTTTTTTTTTTTTTTTTTTTTTTTTTTTTTTTTTTTTTTTTTTTAGTTGAAGTGTGATGCTTGAAAATTAATTGTTTCAGCTGCATGGCAGTAATCAACAATTATAATATTTGTTCTTGATAAAACTAATCTTGGCCCTATGATGAGGAAATTTATATTGTATGTAAATTTCGTGTTTCAAAAATGTAAATAGTTTCTTCATTAAATATTACTGTGTTTCAATTGCAACTTTTCCTTCTTGAGTTACTCAAGTCCTTTACGTGATATACTTGCATATTCTCGATTTAAATGATGCTCTCTCAACTCGTGAATGAAATAGAATCATGAAATGTGATCCCAAGTCCAATTTACAGTCTTAACTACTTTTAGTATCATCTTTCAAAAATTATTTAATACTATAAATATATTTTCAAACTTTGCTGCCTAACATTCAAGAATAAATAAAACATTAAATAGACTTTTTTTATCCTATAATAATTTTACAAGTCACTAGAGCTGAACTTTATTAATCTCGTGAATTTCAGTACATTGCGTTCCCAGAATAAATAACATGATGACAGATTACTGTTAGTGTAATATAATCATAAGAATGAGTAATCGGTTACATGAATTTAATATATATATATATTTAAATGCATACAGCAAACACTTATCAAAACTCAAATACTTATTTTAGGTAAATGCTAGCAATGAAACAATACAGGATGCATCAGAAAAATATATGCAGACTTTGAACTGTCATAGAAAATTTATTTTCCAACTTATAAGGTTAAGTTTCTGGGAAAAGTAAGTTCAGTTTCAAAGTAAGCTATAGTTCAGTTAAAAAAAAAATGTTCTTTCTGGTCAAACTGAATGATAAAAAAGATGTTTAAAGTAAATATTCAAAATGGTGACCTTCTAAACTTCTGAGTACAAGTTATGACTGATTCCATACTCCGCACCCAAGTATTCAAAGGATTTCTGTGCACACCTTTTGAATCTTGAAGATGTTTACACGTGAACCGGGATTTATGTGCAGCATTATTTGATCAGATGAAGCACAATTTAAATTTAATAGAACTGTCAAAAGGCATAATTGTGTGTAGGTTAAAGATGATCCCCACATTACTGTTGAGAAGCTTGTGAATTTGCCTGGTGTAAATATGCTGTGTGTTTTGTCTCCTAAGGTACTCATTGGACCTTTGCATCTTGAAGGTACTGTAACTGGAGAGAAATACCCAATACAGTTTGCTGATTCCATTTTCTCTGCCATTCTGCAATGTACAGTGATGTCAAGTTTTATTACCAATAAGATGGCATTTCTCCGCACTATCATAGGGATGTGAAGCATAACTGGATCAAAATGCACCAGGCTAATGGATAGGACTCAGGGAACCAATCTAGTTTCCTGCAAACTCTCCAAGCCTTGCACTGCTTGATTTTTTTATGGGGCATATTAAAAGATGAGGTGCACTGTCACCAATCCAAATAACCTTGACACACTTTGGGATGAGATTCAAGTGATGGGCGCAGAAATCCTATCGGGAGCTTTAGTGTGAAGTATGGAATCAGTTGTGACTCGTACTTAGAAATGTAGCGATGCTGAAGGCTGCCATTTTGAAGAATTACTTTAAACACCATTTGGAATGTTCAGTTTAATCAGAGTATACTTATTCTTCATACTAGACAATAGCCTTACTTTTCTCAGAAATTTAACCTTGAAGGTTGGAAAATAAATTTTCTATGACAGTTTAAAGTGCGTATACATTTTTTGGCACACCCTGTAGATGCTCCCCACTTCATAAACTTTTACTTCACAAATTTTTACAGCTATGAATAATCCTGTTTTCAAAGAATTAAATTTGTTTGGAATCAAAAAAGGAAATAAATAATATTGAAAATAGTAAATGAAAAGAGAAAATAAAGCACATATAATGACAATGCAAAAAAGTGACAAATATTTCATTTGAAACAAAAGACATGGAAGTGATTAATGTCATACAAAAATGGTATGAATCACTGAAAACTTGGAATCATTCTTGAGAAAAAAATTGCATAATTGGAAACATTAAGAAAAATATTGGATGTATGAATATGTCAAAGGTTCATGCTGATGCAATCAGCAGATCAAATACATCTTAAACAGCAGCTGAGATAGGAAGAGCCTGTCTCGATACAAAGTGAATGACAACAGCAATTTTCCAAGTTTGAAGAAGGCTTTTTTGAAAATCAAAACCCTAATTCTGAGAGGATTTTTAAATTAAAGTCTGCTGTGCATGATGCCATACAGTGCTCTCGTCTTTTTTATGATATAAAGAAAGGAAAACCAGTTCAGACATGTTTAGACACTTACTTTCCTAAGAAACATACTTCAAAAACCAGGACTACTGGCCCATCTCACATGCTAACTTCTTCCACCTCTCATTACAAATGTTCCCTGACTTGTTGATGAGTCTCCAGACACTGACTCATCTCCACCCATGTAAGCATTTACTAGCTTACATTCCTCACCCCATCCACATATCTTAATGATGACAATCCATGGTATATGCTAGATAATAAAGTTATAATTTATTTATAATTTTTTATTTATCATGTACTGTATATTTAAATTATATCATTTATTTGTTTTAGTGTTTTTGTTTACTTGATAGTATTTATAGTTACTATCTCACGAGTGTAAGAAATATGCATAACAAACCTTCTATGAATAAATTCATGATACATACTGTCATTCAGAATGTAACTGATTTGTAATGTGGGGAGTTTCTGTACTTAAATTCCAAATCCATCTTTAAGGCCTAGAAGAACAGTCATAATTTCTTGAATGGCTTTATGAATATGAATACTTAAAAAGGATCAGGTGGAATCAATGTCCAAATTAGAACTTTGACTGTTTTCTGTAGAAAAGAAGGTGCACCCACACTGAAATTAATCATTAATTGAATGAAATTTATGGTTATAAAGCAATTTTGCACCAATGTGCGATTTTTGAGAATGTACAAATGAATGCTGAACATGATTACAGACAATTCCAACTTCAAAGATGAATGCCAGCATTAATGATGTTAAGGAACTGAAAACGTAACCGATAGTTGACAAAATTATGGCACACTTCACATATATTACATCAGCTCAGAACGTCTGAAGTTTTGAAAAGTGCATGTTTGATGGGTGGGACTTGAATACTGCCAGAGCAACACAAAAAATAATATTTCCGAACCCTTGAATTTCTAGATCATTAAGTGAAAGAAGGAAATGACTAGATGTACAAAACTGTAGCCTGAGGCAAATGTTGGGTCTACAATTTCTTAGCAGAAAGGAATTGCCATGTGCTTCATCCTATGAAAAGAGAGAATTAAAGGCAATATCATTCAGACAATGACCTGCAATGTAATGATGTTTACTGAAAGATGGACCAAAATTATCTAAATAAAGTATACAAACAGCATTGCCAGCTGTAAAGATATAATAATTACTTTTTTAATACAACAAATAAATTTCACTTACCTGTTATTTTACATTTTTCAGCATGACCAACAGCATAACTGTTAACAGTAATAGGAGAATTTGGAACCTCTTGCCCACCATATTTCACAGAAACTTTATGGGGCCCAACATCTTCAGGAACATATTTTACTTTATAAGTACCATCATGATTATTCACAACAGTTGCTTTCAGTGGCTTACCATCGGGTCTCTGAAAATTATGAAAGAACACATGAAATATTTGGAAAATTTTTTTTAAATAATGGTTCTCAGATATAAGAAGATTTAATAAGTAGAAACAAAAAGCAATTCTTCAGCAAAAATAATCAATTTTAAAAGATTTACAAAAAATTTCATTTATAAAAATTTACAGAAAATAGACTAGTTCTTCAATTATTGAAGTACAACTAACACAAAGAGTTTTAAAGGGGAAAAAAAAATATGCATATTACTCTGAAACAGAAATTTTTCACCAAAGTAATAATAATGAAAAACTGAAATTTTCACATAGCTTGTTTAATGTTGTATGATATAGTTTAAGAATTATTTTCAATATTATGGGCAGTAATTTTTATTTGTTATAATACAAAGATAAACAGAACCAAGGCCTCCAACAAATGTTTATAGGTTTAAAAGAAAAGAGGTTGGTTGTTTTAAAAAAAAAAAAAAAAAAAAAAAAAAAAAAAGGAAAAAGGAAGGGATAGAAAAGAATAAAACAAGTTTGAATAACTAAACTTGAAATTTATGAAAATAAATAATGCATGAATAAAGATCAACATACCTTAATAGCAACTTCAGGTTCAGCATGACCAGCTTCTCTAGTATCAATTGTGAATTCAACAGGAATACTTGCTGGTACTTTGTTTTGTAATCCAGGCCCTGAAAGTTTTACATTTTTTGGTTCGACAGCAGGCTTCACTTTCATTTGGAAGGGACTACAGAAAAGAAATTATAAGACTTTAAATATCAATAAAACAGTTTTAAAATTGAAGTGTTATGACAATTAACCAAAGTTATCAGATTATAAATAAATATTTCATTGAAGAATGATAGAATGATTATATTAGGTTATAAATAAATATTTCATTCATCCAATTTTTATGTATGACAAACATCTTTAAATGTACTTCTGTAATGGCAAAGTTTTGCTTTTTTATTATACAAATTGTAGTGTAGTGGCCAAAACCGCTACGCAAACCCTGGGTTATGAAACATGGTTGAAATGAACTTCTAACTCAAGTTCTAACAATAACATGAATTTTAATGAAATAAAAACATTAGCTGTTGCAAATCTTGACAGTATGGGACTTGGATACATTTAGTCCCGTAATTTCAGAATTTTGTTATATGAAAAATGCTCTAATGCATTATACATGAGGAATGATCGTTCTTAGTAGGCCAACATGCCCATAGCTCTAAACAGGAAAGTTCTCCCTCTTCTCAGGAAACCACCTCACCACTCTTTGCAGGCCAACATGCCCATAGCTCTAAACAGGAAAGTTCTCCCTTTTCTCAGGAAACCACCTCTCCTTATATATCTCCCTGTGTTTACTTGCACTGACTCCCAGGGGGTGAGGGAGATTCTTTCACTCATACCTAAAAAAGTGAATCTCCTGACCCTGATGAAAAGACTTCTTTTACTTCTTTGTGCACTGGAGTGACCTTCGAGGCTGCAACCGGAATCATTAACAAAGGCACCGGATGTCACCACTGATGAAAATTGTTGCACTCTGAAATTACTCATCCTAGACAAAGAACCTTTATGCCACCTTATCACAGCATTATATTCTGCATTTATGTTTTTTCTGTTAATAATTTAAGTTGAATTAAAGTTTGAGCTATTATTTTTGTTGTTAAAGTTTAAAATTTAATACTGTTCTACTCTTGAAAGAAAATTTGTAAATACTCTTTAATGAAAATAAGCAGTAATTCATAAAAATTTAATCTAATGATTTATTTTTGTAACATATTTGACCTTTTAATTACATTTAATTCAGTTGCTCTGGTTGAAAAATTATGACTTACCAGCAACTTAGCAGTAAAATTTCTGAACATTAGACAAACCCAGGTTTCAAATCTTGACAACATTAGTAGGTCAACTAAGGTTCAACTCTTGATTCAGTTTTATAGAAACTGGATTTAATACAGATGCTAGACGCTGGACTTAATATGATTTTATTCTTGCTCATACTTCAAATCTACAGCCGAACTAAGATAACTTTTATCACTATTTTAGAAAGAGTATAAAAATCAGTTTTTAATTTTATAATTTAGCTGTGCATGAGAGAGAAAAAAGGAATATCTACAAAAAATGGTCAATTTTTCAGATGCTTTGCTTAACAGCAATAAACAAAGGCTGAGTCACTGTAAGAGAACTCAATTTAGTACAGACCAAATAGACTTATTTGAATAATGAAATTGGAAGAATAAGAAAATTCTTAATTTATTGGTCTGATTTGGCTTGTTCTACTTCATTATATTTTGGGATAGGATCTATGATACTAAGAACTGTAAGAATACATTGAAAGCTTCTTTCAGCAGGCATTTGCTCAATGTTTGGTTCTTCATAGAAAAATGACTGGTTTTCCTAAGAATAAAAAAGTGCTGAGAGTATTATGCACCTGATTAGTTAGGTCACGCCTCTAGAACTAATGCTGAAAAATTTCCAACTCATTTCTCTCAATAATACCCTTAGCTTTGCTGATAATTTACAGTGGCTAGTGCTCCCTTCTCTGTGCACGAGTTCATTAACTTTTAGAGATATTTCCTGCCCAAAACACTGAAATAATTAGGTTATCTGATAAAGCCAGCTTCATTTCTTCACTAAAAATCTACTCAATAAAATGGTCTGCTGCAACATATGTAGATGATAATCCAGGATCTCGAACATTCTGAAAGCTAAGAATTATTTCTAATGATTCCTAAATTTTAAAATTTTTATATAGGTACAAAACAGTAATATAGTATAGGACTAAGATTGTAATCCAGGATAGAAATAGATTCAGTCATGATTGTAAAGGTTTTCTCTTGTTAAAAAGTTGCAGGGATGTTACAGTTTGTGATTATCTATGTTGAAGACGATTTCAGTTACCTAAAGTTTTACTTCAAATGATATTTTACTTTTGCTCATATTACTGATATGCATTACACATCAAGTAAAACTGTATTTAATTTAATCCGGTTAAGTTTTTTTTTTTTTTTTTTAATTCACTGGATTGAAGTTGAGTTGACCAACTATATTTTCACATAACACAAGTTGCTATCAAATTTTAGCTTTGGCATTTATACCAATGGATATTTAATAGCTTTGTTATGAAATTCAAAATAAATTGTGAATAAGTTATTTTTAAACACAGCACTAATTTATTTGAAACAATATAATTGCCTTTTTATTTATTAGTAAAATGTTATTTTTATGTTCATGGCACTACAAGGGACATTATCTCATAGTAATTTCATAAAAATTCAAAATTTAAGATATTGCTATGAATTGAAACATGATTTGCTAACGAAGTAATTAAAATTTAATCAAGTTAAAGGAAATCTATTTAAAAAACTGACTAAATTAAATAAAAAATAAAATTCAATATAATTTAAAATATTACTTTTAAAATAGCTCTCAACAAAAATATACCTGATGACATGGAAAGGGCCTAAACAAATATTTGATATTTTTTAGAGTTATGGGAATGGGTTTAGTTCTTTACACAGCATTTGAAACTACCTGACATACTTTACACTATAAATAAAAACCATGAAAACATGCATGTGTCATGAATAATAAATATGCATCTTTTTTTAATCCGTTGTGTGACCTGTTGCTTGCTTCAAATACAAATTGATGATCTTTATACGAACTTTTATGTGAACTGACAGCATTTATGTGTCAAAATATTAACATGCAACTATGCTGGGTACCTCTCAATTTGTCATGCGGCAATATTCACTTCATTTATTTTCATAGCCTATACTATGTTCAAACGATGAATTACACTATGTATGCTTAATTCTGCATTGTGTGCATTAAATAATATATATTTTTGGGTTCTAAAATACAAATTAATTTTCTTCACACAATAATAAATTTAATTAACTACAAGTGTTAAGATAGTGGTTTGCAACCTTTTTAGCCACACATATCCCTTTCACCATTCTTAAGTCATTCCTCAATTAATCCTTTCCAAAACTTAAAAAATGCATATATATTCATTTCAATTATTTGTAATGCATTTTTTTAATTAAAAAAGAAGAAAGTAACAGAAATTTGATAAATTCCAAAACCTGAATAAAAGTATTTTTCATATTCATAAATTAAGTATATAATAGTTAAATGAAAGTATGAAATAACCCCCGGAAAGAACTGCCTTAACCTGAACTTCGGATTGGCTAAGTAATGTCAATATCAGTTTTCTTGGTTGAAAATATAGCAAGACTTTAAATTGGAATTTTTACCTCTCTTTCAGCTATGGCCAGTAAGTTTTAATTACGTTTTCTGTTATTACTTAGACTATACCAGATATATTGTTAGTGCTAGTCACAATAGAATTTAGGTCATAATTATACTTAGTTTTTTTAATTGCAAATTATATTTATGAATAAATATTTTACTTGGCACTGTTTTTATTTTATATATCTGAATATTCTGAGATGCAATGATTAATACAATTTCTTTTCTTCATTAGCTAATGTTCGCCTCTCAGAGCATCATGTGATCCTAGTGTTCACATATCAGAGCATCATTCAATGATGACTTGTTTTTGGTAGTCTTCCTACTTAAGTACTTAAGCTCTGAACTTCAGTAATTGAAATGCTGATCACTACAATGTGAATGCTCAGTTTTCCATTTTTATTAATCCACTGTACATGAAGTTAATTTTAACAGGTTATGGGGCTCAGTGGTTAGAAGAAGCCTTTCATAAAAGTGCATAGTAAGATTCAGTCAGCATTTTGGATTAAACTGATGAACAGTGATTACTTTTGTTTATTCATTCTTCCTCTATGATTATCCAGTAATGCCACCTATGAATCTAAATTGCATGTGCACCGTAAAGCTGAATGACAGGAATTACTATACATGGAAATTCAAATTAGAACTATTGCTGATTATGGAGGATTTATGGTATCTTATTACTACAGACTATGGGTTTCTGTAGTAACAACATTCCAAGATGGAAAAGCTGGAGCAACTATAGGACTTTTATTGGAAGGTAACCAACTAGGGCATATTAGGATGTGTACAACTGCAAAGGAGACATGGAACATTCTCAAACAGCATCATTCTCAAACAAAGTCAACACTGCCTCAAAAAGTTGGAACTTTTGAAAAAGCTGTGTATTTTGCAGTAAAGCAATAAAGAAATAATGAGCAATTATCTAATATAAAAATCAAAGCAATTGTGGATCAACTATTAGTGCTAGGTGAGAAAATTTCAGAAACTTTATGCCTTGCATTTATTTTAAGTAGCTTACCTGAATATAATGTTATGTTAATAACAGCTTTGAAAACATGACCAGAAGCAGATGTAACTCTTGAATTAGTTAAGAATAAATTGTTAGAAAAATACACCCGTCAAAACAAAACTAAAGAATCTGGTACAGATAATTACAACAAAACATTAAAGTCATGTTCTTTATAGTGCAACATTGCAACAGACAAAAATCGCAAAATCAGAAAACTTTTCTAACAAAAGAAGCAAGTACATTAATACTACTTCTTTTACAAGAAATTAAGATATTTAAAGGCTGATTGCAAGAAATTTGCAAAATAGAAGTTTAAGCATAATCAAAAGCAACAAGTTAATGCAGCTATGAATTCAAGTGGCATTAATGAAGCGAAACAAGTTTTGAATAATTACCGCTTTACAAATGTGAATAATTTATATTTTGACTGGTATATTGATTCTGCAGCCACCATTCACATGTGCAATGATAAAAGCCTGTTCAGTAATTTTAATAGTAATTCCATTCCTGAATAACTTTAACTAATGGATTTACAGAGTTTCATCAGGGAAAGGGAAATTGCTAGACAAAAATATCAAAATAATCAAAATGAGGAACACAGATTACAATCAAATATGTGCTTTTTGTTCCCCAGCTATCTGAAAATGTGTTATCTGTAAAGAAGCTAGTTGAACAAAGCTAGCTATATGAAGTGAACTTTAAATGAAAATTAAATTAAGGGTGTAAAATGCCATATTGTTAGGAATGATAATATAATGGCTTTCGGCTACATCAGAGAAGGCTTATATGTTCTTAAGGAAAGTGAACATGCTCTTCGTACAAAACAAAGCCATGCAAAATGCATTCATAAACTCAGGTTATAGAAATCTTGCAGATATTTTAAGGATGTATAATGAATCCATAGCTGAAGATATGAATATCAGTCCTTGCTCCAATTTATTGACATGTGATGATTGTAATGCCACTAAAGCATATACAGAATTATTTTTCAGAAAGTCTATTTCCCAAACCTTTGAAATAATCGATTTAATGCATACTGATGTTTGCAAACCAATGCAAACTATAACTTCAGCTGGTGCAAGATATATACTGACAGTAACTGATGAAAGATGATTACAGTAGATGCACTATAGTTTACTTTCTGAAGTATAAAGAGAAAACTAAAGCATGCATTGCATACTTCATCAAACAAGTATTAATGGAAATTAAAAAAATAAAAATTAAATTAAATTTGACATCGTAAATGCACCAAAATGACTGAGGTCAGATCAAAGAGGGGAATATGCAAGCAATGACTTTAATAAATTTCTGAAAGAAAATTGAATAATACACAAGTTCCTTATTCTCTGCAACAGAATGGAATCGCTGAAAGAAAATATCATGCACTTATTGAGATGATAAAAGTGATCCTAAAAAGCACTAATCTTTCAAAATACACATTGGGGTGAATGTGTAATTACAGCAAACTACCTGGAAAACAGATTGCCAACAAAGGAATTTAAAGTAACTCCTTATGAAAAATGAAAAAAAAAAATCCTCATTAGCAAATAAAAAAGCATTCAGTATTGCAGCATATGTGCATATACTGAAGGAGAAGAGATAAAAATTTGATGACACTTCTGTTAAATGAATCATGGTTGAATACAAAGAAGAAAGAAAAGATTATCATTTGCTGGATACAAATACCAACAGTATCGTAATTTAGTTAGAATGTGACATTTACACTAAAAGATCCTCATCCAAAGAATAAACAAGAAGATACTAAAGATGTAACTACTTTTAAAGATAATTCAGGAAAAAGAGTATATATCTGAAAATATAGAACTGAGGCAATCTGCTAGATGAAAAAAAAAGTGTATCACTTAATAGATATTAGTTCTTCCACAACACAATCAGAGAAAGCAGCAGGTCCAATATCATATCATGCAGCTTGCCCAGATGCCAATAAGAAAGAATGAGAACAATTCATGCAAGAGATTAATGCTTTAAAGACGAATGGCACAAGCATTTTGACAAATGCTCCTGAGGGTAAACCCTATATAAGTTGCAAATGGGTATAAAAGATTAAAAGAAAGGTAGAATTTCTTGTTAAAAAGCTAGACTGGTTGCTCAGTGATACCAGCAGAAATATGGACATGACTATGATGAAGTATTTGCTCAGCCAGTCTGATTACTTTGAGAACGCTTCTTACCATAGCAGGAAAAAGAAAAATGACAGTGCTTTGAGATAGTGTTTATGATATCCAGTCAGCATACTTAAATGGACATTTATCCCTTAATATATACATGAAGCGATCTTCTAAATTTGAAAAAAGCAAGTCTGTAAGCTTGTAAAGTTACATGAAATCAATACGGGGGAAATGAATGGAATAGAAAACTTAATAAAATTGTCTTATGTAAAAGATTTCAACAAAGTCTAAATGACCTTTGTTTATATACAAGATAAAGAAGCATTTCTATACATTACAGTACATGTGGATGATACAGTCGTTGTAGATTTACTTGAAAATTTTGAAAATGAAATTGGTGAACATTTTGCAATGAAAAATTTGGGAAATCAGGCATACATTTGCAACTTGACAGCAAGGGAATCTTCTACATAGACCAATCAAGCTACATTTCATGAAAGCTGAAACAGTATCTCATGTATGATTGCAAAACATCTACGTTTCCTACTGATCCAGGATATTAAAAGCAAAAGAAAGATGCAAAAGCTTACAGTATTTTTGAGGAATATGAAAGTGCAACAGGATGATTATTGTACCAAGCAGTTAATATCAGACCACACATAGCAGTCGCTGTTTTCTTCTTAACCAGAAAAGTCAAAACCTAACTGGTTGACTAGATCAAAGTTAAAAGGTTCTTCAGATATTTGAAATTAACTAAAGTTCTGCATCTGAGAAATATAAAGGAGGGGGAAAAAACAACACTCTATTATTAAGTGGATGCAGATTGGGGAAACAACCCTTCTCATAGGAAATATAATTCTGAATATTTCTTTACAAAAGCAGTGTTTTTATGTGGAACTGCAGAAAACAACCATATGTGACTTTGTCATTGACTGAAGTGGAATTTATAGCAGCAGAGGATGCAGTTTGGCTAAAACCTCTCAGCATTACAGAGGGAAAATTTCATATAGAACAGTGGTTTCATGTTCATTACACATACAAATTTCTGCCAGATTTAAATGTGTTCGATTTCAGATTGGATGTATATTGAAAGAAAAGGAATGAAGGTACAAAGTGAGAGAGTCATGTTTTTAAAATTATAATCAAGAATATGCATTTATTCATTTTGTGGACTGAAATTTCAGGGCTAAACCCTGAAGGGTTTTGCAAGATCCCCTGAAGGGATTGCTCAAAGGGTTAAAAAGGCTTTTGAAAGATTTCCATGAAACTGACACCATTTGCACTTTTTATGAGGGTAAAAGCTACATCAAAATGTTAAATAGGGTCAAAGACAATGGGAGAACTAAACATATGCATACAAAATATCCTTTTGTGAATGACCTTGTAAAAGAAAAAAAATTATGAACTTCGATATCTGCCCACTGAAGAAATAACTGCAGATATTTTAACATAGCCATTAGTGGCAAACAAAGTAAAAACTTTTTTCCAAAACTTTGGAGTATGCTCAACATGTAATTTCATACTACACTTTTAATATACCAGTTACTACCTTAAAAATACTGATAATCCTTTAACCTCCATTATAGTACTTTTAATATACCAATAATCAATTAATACCTTCATTTTATTCATTGATTGTTCTTTTTTATGCATTTATTTTTTTATATATTTATGTTCTTTTATTAAGGATTAATCATAGAGGATGGGTGCTGCTATTTCATACCTCTGAATACTCAAGAATGCAACTATTAATGGGATTTTTTTTTTTTATACATATATATTCGCTTGTGTTCCCTTCTCAGAATGTTATGTAAGATAATCCTTGTGTTTGGCAATCTGCCAACTTGAAGCTCAGAACTTCACTAACTGAAATGTTTATTGCTATAGTGCGAATGCTTACTTTTCCAGTCTCCTAATAAAATCTTTTATTATTTTCCGTTCTCCTAATAGAACCTTTCCCTTAACTACTGTACATGAAGTTAATTTTAATAACCACTATTATTAATGTACTTATTTAGATATTTTGATAAGATTTATAAATAGTTTCAGTTTCACATGTCATAGTTATCAATAAATAATAACTACTTATCTACGTTTGTAAGTTCCTCTAAAATTTTTTTTAATAAGCTGCACAGTAGTAGTTAATTTACTCAGTGCAGCTAAGGGGTATACCTAGCAGCTAAAACATTTTACTATTTAATGCCAGAACAACCTTACTAGACACTTGAAGCATTATGATGCAAGAAGAGAATATTCACTCAATTAAGTCTAATAACCTAGTCTTCCACTATCTTCCGAAGAAAATATTATTTAACAATTTCCTAAACCGAGCATTACAGCAAAGCGGAAAAGCAAGCAATAGGTAAAAAAATACATCCACATATCTGCATGCAATCTTGCTGTGAAAGAATTAACACAGAATCAAATCTGGACTCATAGTTAGTGCTTGATAATTATTTTAATTTAAATAATTTCCATGGAAAATCATTAAAAACTGAGAGTTTTCAGGATTATATTGTCCTTAATGTTAAATTATTGCAATTTCTGTATATACAAGGTAATTAGTAGTGGAAAAAGGAAAGTTAGCAGTCTTAAAAAGTCAAATAATTTAGTAAGAAATTTTTTCTATAGATCACAGCTCACACACTATAAAGTTACCTTCCAGGAATGTCTTTTCCACCATAAGTAACTTTAACATTACATTTACTACCTTCTGGAGGTGGCAGGTAGGAAACATCATATGTCCCATTTCCATTATCTCTAATTTCTGGTTTTGTGGGCAGAGGACCTAAGAATATAAGATTATGATTACGTAAACAAAATTCATGCAGAGGTATATCCACACAGTTTGCTTCGAAACAAGAAAATTTTAGCAGCAACATTGATCACATAAAATTCAACAGAAAAATAATATTTAAATTTAGGTATGTGTGATAAACAAATTTCATCGAAATGAGAATAAATTTATGCAGTTTAAATATAACAATATTCTTCATTATCTATGAAACATTTTTCTTTAATTCAAACAGTAAAAAAGAAAAAAAAAAATTCTGCAGCCTTGAGAATGTCAGAAAAGTATTTTAAAAATCATTTTTAAAAAAATCATTTTAAATTCTGAAATTTTTTCAGAGCTGATAAAAATAATAAAGGTATTGTGTTTTGTTCCCTTATAATGTCTTCTTTAAGGATAGTTTAATTACAGCATTTTGAAAAAATGTCTTTCTCACCTTAAAATAATTTCATTAAATTAAAAAGGGACTTAGAACTCATACCTTTATCTGAAGATACTTGGACATCAAGTGGTGCTTTTCCAGACTTCCTGGCATCTACAGTAAAAGGAAGAGGTCTACCAGCTCGACACTGATTGGGTTCTATGCCAGGCCCATGTGCAACAACTTTACTAGCATCTACACTGGCTGTGCACATTACTTTAAAGGGACTTCCTAAAATTCATGAAGTTCAGGTTGTTATAAATTTTAATTTACATAAGAGCTTTAAATCTATACCTGACTGAACTAATGCATATTAATAAATCACCTTAAATTCTCCTTAAAATACATAGAGTACAAATTATGTTAAATAGAAGCTTCAAAATGAATTAAGAAAATAAAATTTAAAATTTTTAAATTATTGCCATACATTTTGTATTAAGTTAATATCTAAGTGCGGATGATTTCCTTGTAAGTGATCCGCACTTGATCCTTGTAAGTGTGGATCATTCACTTGGAAAACTACCACAAGAAAATTACATATAGTAAACCACAAGAAATCATTGCATTCAAACATTGCACCTACACTTTAGACATAATATAGAAGATAAATTACATAACAAATTATTAAAATATTAAAAATATGTCATACTGGCTTTTTTACTTAAACTAATCATTTAAGATAAATGATTCTTTAGTGTCAACCATCAAATTTTGAATAGTTTTTAATTCAAAAAATAAGTTATTTTCAAAACTTCTACAATTTCTTAAAAACTTCCAAAAAGTTAAATGTTCATTTAAAAAATATTCTTCATAATTATTTTCTTCTCATAAGTGTGGCCTTTGCAAGCTAAGTTTTCTCATTCATAAAATTCAAATATATTTTATGTGGTGCTAAGAGATGTGGCAAAATCATTTGCATTAGCGGGCATATCAATTCTGCATGCAATGAAAACATAGGCTATATTGTTTTACTGCAGAATTTTACTTAAAAGTTCTACGAGTAAATATTTTATCTTCCATTAAACATGTACATCATTGATACATAAAATGGCATGCACACAAATAATATAGAATTCATGTGTATGTCATTTCATGTGAAACTAGTGCTCTAATATTGTGTAAAAAATTTTAAGCTCACCAATGAATTTTTACATGTGAAAAGAATATATTCCACATGGATGCAAAAATAAAGCAGTAACTAAAATTTTGCAACGCATTGATCATGTGGAGGTTTTAAACCCAAATTTCTGATTTTGTCAAATTCACTGCAGTTTTTCTTTTTCTCAATATACGAGGGCATTTCGAAAAGTAAAGATACAATGGCTCACATTCCTTAAAAAAAACATTTATTTAGAAAACGTCAGTTACATCTTATTAACTGGATTATTTATTATTTTTCGACATAATCACCCCCGTTATCCAAACATTTGTTAAGTCGGTGCACAAGCTTTTGTATCCCACAGTCATAGAAGGTTGCCGTCTGTTGGAACCCAGCGCGCTCACAATTTCCTGTACCCTAACTTGACAGTCACAACTTCATAAAGAGTTGTCATTGACACTTCTGGTATGATCTGATGCAATTCTTTCAATTTGAGATGTCTATTCGCACAAATTGCTTCCTCTATTCTCTGAAGAAGAGCATCAGAGATCACAGATGGCCGACCCTTTCTTTGGACCCTTTCTTTATTCGTCATGAACATCCGTCCTACCTTCAGAGAAATGACGACACCATTTTGGCGATTCATAATGTTCCCATACACAGAAACAATTTCTTTTTGAATATCCGCTGGTCGTTGACCTTTTGCATGAAGAAAATGTATGACAGAATGCACTTCGCGTTTGGCGGAATTTTGAATCGGCGCAGCCATTTTAAACACGACCTACTCCAACCAGAATCAACGTTGAAATGCCGAATGACTGCGAGGAGAAAGCTATAACGGTTCAAGGTTAAAACCTGTGTTGCCAACTTGCTCACCAAAACTTAAACATTAATTATATATGCTTTTGCTCTGGCTTACGGTGTATCTTTACTTTTCGAAATGCCCTCGTTTACAGTACAAAAATATGCCTAGTAAAACATTCCATGATAGAAGTCCTTTGTAGTATAACTTAGCTTCTTTTTTTACTTAATTTCTTTTTTACTTAAGATTTTTAAATTTATCTTCTTTAACTTAGCTTCTTTTTTGCAAAAATATGCCTAGTAAATCATACCACGATAAAAGTCATTGTAGTATAACTTAGCTTCTTTTTTACTTAATCAAAAGTAAATTGAAATTATGTTTTAAAATAATGAGAGCTATTTTAACAGGGCACCTGTCACTAAATATGTGCCAAATGTGGTTGTGAAGTTGAACCTCTACCTGATTATTATCTTTATTTTGATGTAATTTAGTAAATCGCGATTGGCAACAGTTGAGTTTTTACATCTACGTTTTCGAGTTTGTTCTATTGTTTACTTTCAATTTAAGTAATGAGAATAATGACTTTTTGAGATGGTTTTCATGAGTATTTAAAAAATGATGAGTAATATTTTATGCCATTTATGTTCTGAGTATTGCTTTGAGGTGTCAAAGCTAAAACTAACACTTAATTAGACTTGTAAATAGAATCGTAATATTAAACTGTTTGTGTTGTGATGAGATGTCTTTCATTGGATAATTGATTGTATACTCATTTTCCATCATAATTCTTCTGATATCGAAGGTAAAACGGGATAGTGGTAACCTGCTTATATCATGTCATGAACAGCTGCATGTTTAATGTGCATAATATCAAGGCTGTATAAACATTAATTATATATGCTATATTATATAATACATTATTATTACAGTTCAGTTGTTTCATAAATTTTACACATGATTAGAATTGTCACCATCTTAGTTGGATTATTTATGCCGATGGTTATGTTTGGCACTAAGATTTCATGTCACCTGTTTACTTTCAGCACTAAGTGGCACTCCATTAACAGAAAACTACCTGCAAATAATTATTCTACTCCAAAAGCAAAACTCCAGAGCTTTGCATAAATGCAAAATTCAGCTTTGGATTGAGTTTAATGAATCTGATTTTGAATGGAAAAAGGTAACAGAAAATGAAATATGAGAACAATTTTTTTTTCTTTTGGTAAGATAACAATCTATACTTTTTCTGAATTCTTAATTTTTTCCAATTTATTCCCAATAAAATTAGCTTTCGAGACATGAAATGTGTTTTCATCATGCATTTTTGCTTGCCCAAATGTATTTTGTGTTTAGAAAACCGTTATTCAAAATCTGGAGAAAAAGACTTCTTATTTTGTTATCAAAGTTTATCATCAAATTTTTTTATAATTAAAGATTTATCTTTTGTGTATATGAAAGCGATTGCTCAAAAATTTAAAGGCAGTAATAAAATTTATGTCTACAATAAAATATTCTAAAAAATTAAAAATACTAAAAAAATACCTGGAACATGTTGATCAGCATATTTCACTTCTATTTCATGCATTCCAACTTCAACAGGGAAATATTCAACAGTACAAGAACCATCCCTATTATCCCTACATGTCATTTTTGGCTCAACTGGTCCTTCAATTACAAGACCAAGACCACCTCTTCCAGCTCCCTTTGTTTCTACAGTGAATGTATTTGTCTAAAATAATGCAAAAAAAAAAAAAATTATTTTTAATGATTATAAGATGATTTCAGCAGGTATTTAGCATTAATTTCGGACTAAATAATATACATTTTAAACAAAAAAACAAGAAACTATACCGAGTTTATATATAACTTACACACTAAAAACAGATTGATTTAGCATACATGCCATATAATAAGAAATTAAAATTTTGTAACACGATGCTGTATTTAGATAATGTAATAATTTATTTGAAAATCACATGAAAATGAAAAAATCATTATTGGTCTCAATCTGCAAACAAACTATACAAATCTTAATTAAACAGACTTTAATTACCTGATTTACAATTGCCTGTTCCAAGCCTGGACCAAATGCCTTAACTTTTCTAGGATCACAACCTCTCATCACATTAACTTTAAAAGGACTTCCAGGTACTGGCAAACCATCATAGGTAATATCTATTTTGTGTGGACCTGAATTAAGAAAAGCATTTTGAAACAAAATAGAAAGTTCATTAATCATTAATTTCTGAATAAACATTAGTTTTACATAACATAATAAGAATTTTGGGTGAATTAAAGAAGGGAATTATATAGCCCATACTTTTCAAGGGGAGGCACGTTTAAGAGCCAGTTCTTTTTAAAGCAAAAGGTAGGAAAAATTTGCAATTACACTGCACATTATATGTGATAGAAAAATAATAGCTATTGTTTTTGTGTTTTTCTTTGCTTCAAAAATGTTGAAATATCCCTAGATATAATGCAAATTTGATATACTTTCATGATAAATTTGGTAAATAACTTTGAGTGACAGAACCTTTTCCCTTTGAGTATCAGCATGAATAAAATTTTGTCAATGGTTCAAGCAACTGTGATTTCGTAATTTAATATTTTTTTAAAAAAATCAGCTGAATTTAAGTTGTCTCAAATTGAATACAGTAGAGCAAATCATGTTGACCAAGAAATTTCACCTACCAAGAAGAAAGTTTTGCAAGAAACAAAAATGGAGAGAAAAGTGTTTTAGAGGAGCATTTTCTGTCTAAGGTTACAATTTTATTGCAAATTTAAAATAGGTGATAAACAATTCAGTATTCTTACTAGCACAAGTTACAAGACAGATGTAAATATCTATAGAAAAGCTTCCAATTAGAGTAAATAGATCTCTGAATTCAATAAGAATTTGATGCAATCTTTCAGCAACAAATATTGCTTCTTTGATACATTTTAAGACTTGAGCTATGTCATCTAACTTTCAAATGGACACTTTTCCAATATGCTGTTAACTGTATCTTGCTGTAAACTGGATAAAGGAGCAACAAGGAAAGGGAATGGCAATTTCGACTGTAAAAATTCGCTTGCAAGCAAAAATTTATAGCAAAACGAATGAACATAAATGATTTCAAAGGAGGCCTAGAAGATTTATGAAAAGAAAAAATATTTCTGTGTGTACTAGAACAACAGTCGGGCAACAATTACCTATGGACTGGCAGGATAAAAAGGCATCTTTTCTAAAATATGTGACAGACATTATTGAAAAAAAAACTTCTTCGGTCACAGATAATAAATATGGATGAAACGCCGTTAGCTTTCGACTCTCCTGCAAACAGAACTGTTGATGAAACTGGTGCAAAAACTGTATCTGTGCTTACAACGGGGCATGAAAGAATGTCTTTTACATGTGTGTTAGCTTGTGCCAAAAACGGTGACAAGCTAAAGCCGATGATCATTTTTAAACGAAAGACTATTTCGAAGGGAGATTTTCCTGATGACGTAATTATTTGTGCAAACGAGAGCGGCTGGATGTGCAAAACAATCATGCATGAGTGGCTACAAAAAGTTTGGCAGTGTCGTAAGGGATCTTATTTCCAACCAAAAGGGTTATTGATAATGGATTCCATGGATGCTCATTAACTTGAGTTAGTGAAAACCAGATGTCAAAAATTGTCTACGACTGTAGCAATAATTGCTGGTGGTTTGACTAAAATCTTACAACCATTAGATTTGTCAGGTAATAAATCCTTCAAAGCTGAAGTCTGAAAGCAGTGGGAGTGTTGGATGAGTAGAGGATTGCATACGTATACCAAAAGCGGTAAAATGCGTAGAGCATCTTATGAAGAAGTTGCAAAGTGGGTAGAAAATGCGTGGAAATCGGTAAAAATATCATCAATAATAGCAGGGTTCAAAGAAGCTGAAATTATATCCTTAGATAAAGAGACTAAACCAAGAGGATGAATGTGATGATCTGGAAGACTTGGACTTAGATCAGGATTTACTAAATCTTTTTAATTCAGATAGTGAAGAATCAGATTTTGATGGCTTCATATGATGTATAGTTTGCTCTAATTCCTTTTGTAAGTAAAATTTAAAATTTCCTTTTGTCATCCAAATTTAATATTTCGTTGTTGCAACATTTTTTATAATATACTCTGAGTATTACAAATATGGACTTCTTTAATGGGTATATACGTGACTTCTTTAATGGGTATATACGTTAAGTATATACGTGAATATATTTTCAAAATTTCTTACCTTTAATTTATTTTTGAGTTATGGTTTCATTTCATGCATTTTTCTTAACGGATATGTCATATATCAGGACTTAGGTTGAGATATTGCATCTATACGGTCCACGACGATGTCCCGCGCAATTTACTCTATTGCGGCGTTTATGCTGATGCTGCATTTCTGTGTAATTTTAATTTTTTTCCCGTCGTTTTTCTTGAGTACGGCATTTACGCTTATGCAGCTTTTCTCCCGGAAATTACGGTAATGCATGTTCATATTGTGAAATTTTACGATGCTTATAAAGAGCTATTCAAAACAAATGAAGAAGCATGCTGATTTCTCGAATTGTTTTGATCCATGATGCCTGTACTCACAGTGCTCATGTAACCAATGGCTCCTTCAGCAATTTCAATGGGACATTTTCGATTACCCACCATATAGTCCTGACCTAGCGCTGAGTGACTTCCATCTTTTTCCTGAACTGAAGCAGTGGCTTCGGGAGGGGGGGGGCAGTGCTTCCAAAATAACAAAGGAGCTCAGAAAAACCGTCACAACTCACTTCCAATCATTGGTGGGAACATTTTATGAAGAGGGTATTGCAAAGCTTGCTCACAGATATAACAAATGCCTCAGTTGTCAAGGTGATTATGTAGAGAAATAACTTACATTGTACATTACTTTTGGTAATAAAATCTTTTTTGTATATTCCACTGTCTTTCTTTTTTTTATAACCCATCGGAGGTTGAAAAAAAAATAGCCTACATACAAAAAAGGAACATATTTGATGCACAGTCATTTTTATCCCCAGCAGTTTTAAAAGTCAATATTGATTTCTTTAAATTACATAATTACCAAAATTTTTGTGGCATATGATGCAATGGGTACAAAAGAAAAAGAGCTGTTCATTTATTGTAATTTACAAAGCAATATCAGGAGCAAACAAATAATTCAACGCAAAATTATCATATATAAATAAGAAATTTATGGCTAACTACAGTTTCATTGGAACTTGGTCCACATTTATCAAAGCATCAATGTTTGCTTAGTCATATTATGCTAGTTAATTGATAGCATAGTTTCTATCGGGTATGGAATCTTATTTCATGCAGTAATAAAAAATACTTCTGTCTCTGCAGCTCTTTTTCATAGGTCTGAGGCATGAACTCCTAGTCAAAGAACAAAAAGGGAGGACAGTTCTATATCACTATTCTGGTCAGCCAACAGATAAAGTTCAATTTGCATTTTCAAGTCTCAATACAGCAACTTAGGAAATACTGTAGATTTATACAAAGGGTGTTTACATGTTTTTAAAATGATTTGGGGGCTGTTTAATTAAAGTTTAAATGCAAAGAGTATTTTTTAAAATGTTTGATCAGATAACTTTGTTTTTCAACATTAAGTCTCCATCGTAATTTGCATAATAGAATGGCTTTTCATAAAATTTCCAGGGATACTGACTTCATTCCTCTTCCATTATTTTCCATAGTCCATCAATCGTTGTGGATCTGCACTTAAAAAGAGCTCTTTTCAGGAGTCCAGAGGCACAATAGTAAATAGGTGAAACATCAGAGGACTTTGCGAAAATATATTGAAAAGGTATATATGCAATACCTATATCAGTCGTCGTTTTTTCAAGGAATGCAGTGGTACTTTTAAAAGTATGACTTAATGCTTTGGCTTGATGAAGTTTCACTCACTGAAAGGCACCGGGATATAGAAATCGAATTTCTTCTGCAAGTATTGGATGTAAAACTTTCTCTTGATAGAACAATGAATTGATTTTAATACATTCTCCACTCTTTTAATTTCTTATTCTAAGAGAATATTGCTGCATTGACAGAACCAGCTTTATGCATTTCTTTTTCCTTTTTGTTTTCAAGAATAATTCAACTTTTTTTTTTTTTTTTTTTTTTGTGTGTGTGTGTGTGTGTGTGTGTGTGTGTTGCAGTCATTTAGGTAAATCCAAGTTTCATCAAGGATCATAATGTGTTTTCATTTATCTCCTGCTAAATCATTTTCGTATCAGGTTCTAAAAATTGTTCTCCATTGAGCCATGAGCCACATATGTCCAATTCTCTAATTTACTATTCATTTTATAAATACTTAAAATATTATAGTCTCAGGCACCAAAAAGCAAAGTTAAGTTTCCATTACCATGCTACTTCATAAACTACCAAACCAGCTCTGCAATTTAAACATTTGGCTGATTAACTAGCTTAAATAGCTAAGAATTAAGAAAATTTTTAATCTTACATTTATTTAGTTGGAAAACATTACTCCAAATATGTTGTATTTCGTGATAATGTATCTTCCCACCAGTCAATAACCACTGTGTAGACTTATCTTCCCACCAGTCAATAACCACTGTGTAGACTTATCTTCTCAAAAATAAGTCTCATCCCATACATTTTTCCATATTTGCTCTTATTTTCATTTCCCTAAAACTAAAGTTGCCTCTCGGAAGAAAGTTTTCTTTGGTGACATGGAAGATCTAAGCATCAGTGTATGCTCTACAATGTTTGTTTCTTTTAATACACTCTGATTACTTATTTGATTAATATACACTAAAAAATCTATTACTTGAGTTTCAGAAAGCTGAAATTTTTTATGAAATGGCTGTCAAAACTAAAAATCTGAAGGTAAGTCAAAGCCAATGTCACATCACAATACTTAAAATTTATACTACATTAAAGAGTATAGAAATTTATAATGCTTCGAATCTTCAATATATATAGATATATATTATATCTATATATATTTAGGAGTGTGTCCTTTTAGTTCTGGCTTACTGAAAGTACTCATTTACCTTTTAGTTCTCACTTATATTTTAATTGATTCTTTGCTTTCTAACATAAAAGCAAAAATTCTATGCACGATATACCTATTTCACAGCACGTAGCTTCAACTTAACTATTTAACAAAATAAACTAGGCTTTAAGAGTTTGACAACTCTTGTCATATGCCACCTTTTGAAACATCTTGGCTTTTAAACATTCTTGTTTAGCAAGTGTATACAAAACAGAGATTTTTATATGAATTTTTTTACAAAAAATGTTTTAAAATAAGAGTTTTTTTCTCATAATGTAGACAATTTTATAAATATGTTCTTTAATATGTAATTACTATAGGATCACAAGGTGCGACAGAATAAACACTGGATTCTATTTTAGTTTAGTTGATTATGGCAAAGTACACTAGAGGATTATCTGCCTAAGGAAAGGGATGCCTTCATGAAGATTTCTCTGTGGGAAACTGGCTCATATACTTGTTACACATGGAAAAAACCTCAATAATGCCCATACAGCCAGCCCGTTTGCCTGGAATCAAACCCAGATCAGATCTACCAGCATTCAGCGATTTAATTCCTTGGCCAATGGTGGGCTGTGGATTCTGTTGACCAGAAAAAACTGGAAGATACATCTGTCATAGGTTTAGAAGATGCTTTTATCATTTGCTAAACAGGTTTTAACTCAGTTGTTTGTCCTCTGGCTTTACTTTAAACTTAATTTGCAACTAAATTGTCCAGAAAATGAAAAGGAGTCTCCCTGCAAGATACACATGAAATGTTAGGAAGATTTTAGAACAATACAAAATTTATGAAAATATAATTGTAGAAAAAACTAAATATTTTTGTGCCAACAATGGAAACAAATATTTCTAAAAAAAAAAGAAAATCAGAAGAAAGAATGACAGTTTGCAGAAAATCCACTTCAAAGATGTGTGTTCAAGGTAAAATATCTGGCCATTCAAACTCTATTTTGCTAAAGTTTTTTGCTCAGTTCAGTGCATTAAATATTCCAGTGAATGTGTCTGCATTATCGGAAAAGGTACAAGAAATAATATCATGGATGAACGTGATTATTTTTTCACTAAAGGGCTGTTTAAATTTAAGTTTGAATTATGCCACAGAATGTTATATCATATAAATGGAGAATCCAAAGATGTCTCAGCCAAATTTGTTGAAGATTCAAAATGTTTATCCACAAAAGTACATGGATATTAGCTAAAAGCATTTTCAATGTTAATGAAAGCTAGTTTTATCTTTTCATCTCCTGTCTGCAAAATGTCTAGGCTCTGAGCCTTCAATATCATAGTCAAAATCAATATTTTATGCTGAATAAATATCAGTGAAACAGATCTAATGGACTGTAACATCTAAAAATGTTACAAATGTCAAGATGATTCAAAAGGACTTATGATACATAATGATGATAATAAAATAGCAAATATATAGCGAATAAAGACTTATGAATGATGGCAGATATATTTGCACAATTCTTCAAGAAAACCAAAAAGATATTAAAAAGAATTTTTTTTTCATTTATATATATATATATATGTAAGATAAAATATATATGAATCAGAAATTATAATTTATAAACTAATGGTAAACATTAATTCTTCCCTCTCTATTCTAAAATCGTAATAACTTCTCTGCATTGCATCATTTCTAGATCACTCTATGGCCCGCACAGCTCTGATGACGTAATAACTGGAAACTGAAACTGCCTTTGTAAACCAAAACTTTTCTCTTCACGTGCTACTATCTTGCATAACTACGCACTTCAGCTTTGCTCTCTACGATGGTAAGATGTAATTTCGTTGGCTTGCTTTCTATCTCAACAATATCAAAAATGTAAATCTTCTGTGGAAAGGCACGACTAGAGTGCCATGTGATTGTGGATATCGAATTGGCCGACACGCATACTGTAGAAGTCGGTATTGCACTTGTTGATAATTAAAAGGTCTCACACTACGAAAACTTTGATAAGGAGTGGCTTGCACTGGTCTGGGATAATAGCACCTCGGAACAGTTTGCCTTGGAGAAACAAATTGGTAATTACTATTTCCTAGACCATCCAACGGCATCTGAACCGGAAACAGTTTCCTAGCAAGAGTAATTCCAGTCCTTTCAGTGATATCTATTTTTTGCACTGTTAACAGCATTCTTTGAGACTCAGGAAGTCCTTTCGTAAGTGCTTCTACCATTGTCGGACTCTGTTAGTTTCAAGCTGGCTCCTAATTTCAACTTATTATGAAAATAACATCAATATTATTAAATTTCTCGTATTTTAAAGATACAAAATCACTAAAAGTAACAGATTCCGATGTTGTGAAGTATGTCTCGAAAATATCCTTTATGTTGCTCCAGTCTTTATCTAAACAATCACGTAAATAGAGGGCTAAAGCCTCTCCTCTAAATACACTCTGAGAAAACAAATTTCACTGTATCCACAATAGCTACGAATTCTTGCTTATCAGTTGACATTTTTCCCGTTTTTGAGTGTGTTAGCATTCCAATCACAAAATCCTTTAATTTAAGAGTTTGCATACAATATTGAAACACTAAAATCAATTTGAAACACTAAAATCAATCACTTTAGAAGCACATGATAAACACGCATAACTTTGGAGGCCGAGAGGAAAGCACTTAAGCATCGCCGGAGAAGAAGCAAAAGCATAAGACGATCACACACTGTCCCTTGACCGAATTTCACCGTCGAAAGTTGCGTTGAAAGAGAAATGCGTGTTAAAAATACGACAGTACCGTAGAGCTCTTTTCCCCACGTAGAGGATTAATCCCACCGGCTTAATTAATTAATAACTGTAATGTTTTCAGTTATTCCAACACATCGTGGGTGAATGGTGAGGTTATTCCATTTCACTTTTTGGCAGATGGTTGACGAAGCTGGGATGATTGCACCACAGAGAAAAATGACGACTCAGGACTTTTCACTTTTAACAGCATATCTTTATTTTACTTTACAGCAGATGATTTTTTCCAGATGAAGTTACTCAAATAACTTATTCAGTAATTGAATTATTAGATACGACTGACTTTAATATGTTATAACATTCTAACAAAGAAAGAGGAGCATAGCTGAGGCGTTAGCAGAACGAAGGCGAGAAGGCATATGTGTAGGAGAACTTATGACGTAGCATTTATATGAAAGGTTATGTAACAGAGTAGCTTCTAGAAAAATGTAGAAAAACATATGACGCAGCATTTATATGAGGAGGTTATGTAACAGGCGCGAATGTTCTAGAAGGTACTGGTCTATGGGAAGATCCTGAATTGCAGAAAATTAATTAAAGGTTGCTGGTTTACAAATAGCAAAGCCATCGTAGATAAAATTATTTTAATCAGAATTATAATATAACTATAAACATTAATTTTTCCTCTCTATTCTAAAATCGTAATAACTTCTCTGCATTGCGTCATTTCTAGATCACTCTATGGCCCAAGCAGCTCTGATGACATAATAATTGGGAACTGAAACTGCCGTTGTAAACCAAAACTTTTCTCTTCGGGTGCTTCCATCTTGCATAATTACGCACTTCAGCTTTGCTCTCTACGATGGTAAGATGTAATTTCGCTGGCTTGCTTTCTATCTCAACAATATCAAAAATGTAAATCTTCTGTGGAAAGGCACGACTAGAGTGCCAAGTGATTGTTTTCACAAATATCAGTTGCAAATAAAATTGGAATTAAAACTGCCTCGACTGCCAAGTTCTTTACATATTCCCAAGTTAGCATTACTAGCATACTACGCAATCAAAATCTTCTTCAATATGGGTCTAATCACACATCTACAGTGTTCCGTCTTTTCCTTTGCTTTTATTATGACATATATATATATTAATTATATGATAATATAATTCTTTCTTTGAAAAGAAATGCAATTCAAATAAATAAATCAAATTCTTAAAATATTTATATGCACACAATTCAAATAAATAAACAGAAATTTTAAAAACTAATTATTTGAAAATATAATTCAAGAATTAAAACGCAAATTCTAAAAAAGGAAAAATATTTAAAAATAGCAATTATGAATAAAAAATATATTCTAAAGTAAAAATATATACAAGAAAGAAAAAATACTTTTTTCTGCTCCTGCAAATTGAAAAGGAAGGTGAAATAGGTTTACCATAAATTGAAGAGTTTATGAAGTAAACTATTCTCAATCAAAATATGGAAAACAATCAGAATGCATTTCAGAAAAAGTTTGGTTTCTGTCACAAAATAAATATGTTAGAAAAATGTTTGGTTTCTGTCACAAAATAAATATGCTAGAAAAATGCGACATATAAACTTAATATACATAAATCAAGCTTCTGATATATGACAAAAGAAAGTTAAACTTTGTGAATTAGCCAAGTAGAATAGGAGATACAGAACTGTCCTTTTGCCTCCCCCTTTTTTGAATGTATCAACTTTGCCTAATCATCAATACAACCTAATGGTAAATGCCAATTGCACATGTAAGGGATACATAAGAACTCAAGATGCTATCGCTTCACAGTATGCATGAACTTAGTGAGCAGCTACAAATTAGCAAACAACAAATTCTGCAGGATTACATTTGATATTTGCACATATCTAGTTTATTACCTGAATGCATGCAGATCAAACACCTTAAATGTCTTTCTATTATCTAATGATTTAGATTTAAGTTCCCTCAATAAATGGATTAATTATACTTGATTTTAATCACATCCACATGTCATCACTGCTTATGATTTCATTAAAATTAAACTATTTTGTAAGTGTATAAAGTTCTTTTGACACAGATAATTTAGATCAAGCTTCTAAAATTTTCTAACTGGATATTTAAAATTAATTAACTGAAATTAAGTACTTTTGCTAATGTTATTTAATAATTAAGGAAAATGCATCACCTTCTTCAAATGGTGTATAACAAATTTTGTAAGTTCCATCATTCAGGCTTTGAACAAATGAATCTGTCCTAGTTCCTGATGGATTAATGATAGTACACTGCACTTTTGCATCACTTCTTTTTGATACAGCTCTAGCATCAACAATAAAGTCGGTTGGCGAATCAATAAATACACCTAAAATGAAAATTTATGCTTGAAATAATGTATCAGTCAAAAAAATTAAATTGAAAAATTTGAATAAATATTTAAAGACTTAAAAACGAAGAGTATTTGAGAAAGCATTTCATAGCATTTACACAAACTAGAGTCACAATTTAATTATAAGCTTACACACTTTTTATATCTTCATGAAAAAAAAAATTATGACAGTAAAATACATGTTATCACTAAGCCAAAACCATGAATATGCATTTTTTAATGTTTTCACTCATGTTTTGAACTATGCCTAAAACTAAATGTCCATATAAAAGAATTATTATGTAGTCATAATTTGACTTATAAAACTAAAAATTTTCAATTCATGGTTTCAGCATGGATTATAGTTTTGGCACGATTCATTAATTACTTATGTAAATGAATTCCAAAGGAGATATTTGTTTTGAAATACATATTTTCTTCTATGATTAAATTATTATTCACATAAATATTTAATACAATTCTTTCACAGCAGCTTTTGATTCATAATTTTACTGTCATAGATTTGATGCATCTAATTTAAACAGTCTCTGTCAGTCACAGTAAGAGTTTTAAAAGAAAAACGAAATACAATTAACGATTTATGAAAAAGACTTCTAGACATATGAAGGTGTCTTATCACAGATAAAATAAAAATGTCAAAACACAAGAAAATAGAAGTGAGAAAAAGAAAATATTTGAATAATTAATAGTAAAAAATTAAAAGGGAAGCAAAAAAAGAAGAAAATCAGCATTCAAAATGACTGAATAGTAATGGGTTTCAAATAATAGCTATAATTCACCATTACAGCCACTGGACTTGAGAGTCAGACGATTTTCTTCAACAGCCAGTACATATTTAAGTAGCACACATATAAATATCACTAAAATTTTCATTTTTAATCTGCTAAAATTATTTAAAGAATCACAGCATTTTTTCATACTTCTAGAAGCTTCTCCAACTAACTTAGAAAGCAAAATGCTTTTCTGAGATCAATCAAATGCAAGTGTACAGTTACAAGCATTCAAAACATAGTAAAAGTTCACTATTAGATATCCCTCTTTAATGCAGAGATTAGGTTATATGAACATTGCAAAGTACTCAAGGGCTATCTGCTCAAGAGAAGGGATGCCTTCATGGAGTATTATCTAGGGGAAGCTGGCTCGTATCCCTATTGCACATGAGAAAACTACAAAAACGAATTATGCAGCCAACCTGTTAACCTATGATCAAACCCAGGTCAAACTCCCAGTATGCAGCAGTTTAGCCACTTGGCCACTGATGAGACGACCCTTTAATGCACAGATTATGTGAAATTTAATGACATATGCAAAATGCAAAACAATAATATTCTGCCTGTTTGATAAAGAAAGCTTAAGCAAATTTTCTTGCTGTAAAAAGGTTCTAATAGATCTTCACTATTTTTTTAAATAATGAAAGATAAAATTTTAATTCTGCTGAAAGAATAAGCATGACATAAGTATGAATAACATAAGACTCGATTTCTAGAATTTCAACTAAGGAAGGCTGTTTTTTGCAATAAAACTTAAAATTAATCCATGTGTTCAATAAAATGAGCTCCACAGATGTTTTTGTTTCCAAATATATCTGCACCACTAGCTAAATATCTTTTTCTAATGAACATGTCAATGTTAGATTTTTCTGTAGATTTGACCATTCAAGTTCCATAATTTCATATGAATGGCATAAAAACTGCACAATTGTGATACTTGTTTTCTTGTAAAGCTAAGTCTGATACATCTCAAGAATGTTTTACAAAAAGCAGAACACAAGAAACTGTGAAAACTTTAAAAATCTGTTCCAAGAGTTAACTTTCTTGCACAGCTATTTCTGTAACATATACTAGTTCACAAGATTAATTCCAAATATAGATTACTAACTCAATGAGCAAATCTTGAGATCCTAATACAATTTTTAGCCAAGAGTATTAAGATGAAAATGTTAAAACATTCAAAATCAGATTAAATTAAAATTAATTCAGACTAATTATCAAATTAAAAGCCATATTTAGCTTAAACTGTCCATTCCATGATTTCAACGTTCTGCTACTCCATATCCTAACTTCCATAGAATAATCTTAGAAGAAATAATTATTAAATATTAGAAAAGCAAAAGTAATCTCGATATCAGCCATAAATCTGACTGGTCTTGATTAGGTATTTTAATAAAAATAAAAAACATGAATCCTCCTAAATGTGGCCTAACTCGAGATTTCACACAAAGAACAAAAATGAAAGCTCGACTTGAGCTATTATATCCTAAGAATAGACAGCTAACATTTAATCAAAAGAACTAATTACTTTTCTGCAGATACCTTTCATTCCATTTATCTAGAGTGGTTACACAGCAGTTAACAAAAATTAATATAATTTTAAGAAATTCCCCATGTATTTTATGAAATATTTTATAAATTTTAAATAGGAAATTAAAGAAAAGTGGCATGTTCAGTGAAATGCTTTAAAACCAATGTTGGCTTTTAATGCATTTTTTCTTCTGAAATTTCCATTCAGCACTCAGGAAGATTAATTACTGGAATTTCCAGCAGCTGAATAAAATTTGCTCTAAAGAATGATGTCTGAAGCATACAAGACCTTATGATTGTCCTTTTGCATACAAGTTTGAAAATTTCAGTTTGCTATAACCTTTTCTCAATGTGCCCTCACAAATTACACTCTTGAAGTCTCAAATATCATATCTCAAGACTTGATATTGATTGCAAGTTAATATGGTCATAATCACATTTATAAAAAATTTCAATTCATAATTTGTTTTTAAATTATTAAAAATTTTAAAATATTTCATTCTGTGATTAACTATAATTCAGTACTGTTGAATTTATCATTTAATATTTTAGTCACTACGAAACAAACTCTGATATGTTTTTATAACTTTTTTTAATTAGTATTATAATTGCATGTTTAAAATGCTCCAACTTTTTCAACAAAGCTCCATTATCTATTTATTAGCAAGGAATTGCTATTTTTAACACATGAAATTCCACTTAATTTTATATTTCAACTCTAGCATATCTCTGTTTAAACAACAGACAGTGGCATTATATCAGAGATTTCAAATTTAACAAAATGATGGCTAATAATCTTGATCTGAATCTAACATATATTCTCAATTATATTAACTTATATTTAATATTAAACCCTTTTACTAAACTGCAACTTTATTTTGAAATGCAGTCAGTGCCAGATTTAAGTATAAAGCTATCTAAGCTACAGCTTAGGGACTCAATTTCTTTGGGGCCCCCAATAAATTGCCCTATGTTCCATATAAAAACAGTTGTCCCATATCTCATATAAAAGGTATCATAATTCAAATAACTTAGAGACTCTTCAAATCTAAATCCTGGCTTGAATACAGTGAAATGTTTAACTATCTTAACATAATATTCTTCACATGAATGTTATCGTAAATATAATTTTCACATGTTTATAATGCACAAACTTTCTTAATGAGAAGCAAACTATTCTTAATTTACGTACCTTCTTATCCAATATTTAGGCAAATTTGCATACAGTTTAAAAGACAATATCCCATGAATATCATAATTTCATGTTCTCTTTACCATTTTTTAAAATTTTTTAATATCTTCAAAAATTCTTTACATTTCTGATTTCTAAGTTTTCTTTATTACGTACTTGTACGAAGAAAAGTACTGTTATCGCGAAAAACTTTGGATATCATATTTCAATGAAAATATCCATTTTGACAGTTCTTGAATCCATTTAAATGATTCTTTTGCATGACATTTGTACATACACACAGAATAAAGACTTTTTCCGAAAATGGATTTAGATACTTTTTCATGACATCTATACATATGTATGTATCTGTCTCAAATGATAAGCCATTAGAATGCTAAAATTTTGAATACGGGAACTTTTATAACATTTAGTTGTGCACCTCCCTTTCTTATTGCAATCGTCCACATCAAACGTGTATATATATATATACACAAACACACACACATATCCTCTTACCCGGTTTGATGATCTCTGTTTTTTATTCTTATATGTTGGTAAATTGTGAATTTTTTGCTTTGAAAATGACTGAATTATGTTATGTTCTGGTTAAGTTTTTTAAGCCTTTACTTCATCTACATGCAATAGTTAAAGAATTATCAACAATTTTAGAAGTTTAAATAGTGCTACGTCTAATGTGACCACCATTTGTTTACAATTGAAGCTCTTTTGAAGTTTTAGGATTTTCTGCATTTTTCAATTTTTAATAAAGATATTTTGAATTTTTATGTATTTTTGCCTTACTGCAAAATGAGAACAGAGTTGATGGAATGAAAAATGCATCTCTAATAAAATTTGTGGAAATAAGTTTAAATGAAGTGTCAGAAAAAATGTGTATAATTTAATAGGCCATACAATGAAGTCAAGTGGTGTCCACATCAGATATTTAAAATTAATTTTAATGAAAGCTGTTAGTTTCTTAACAAGAATTTTTATTTGATTCAGTTGTCTTTAAGATGTTACTTAACCTCTTTTATAAATTTTATTTATAGCTAGAGACTTTATATTATTGATTTGAATACCATTAACTAGATATTTACTAGTTTTTTTATTATTAGCTAGTTTTTTTTTTTTTTTTTTTTTTTTTTTCCTAGTTTCACTTAAAACATTAAAGGTTCTTAAGTTTGCATTTAATGAAATGTCCTAATATATATAAAATTGTAGTCCAAATAAAATATATATAATTAATATAATAAATATTTGTAGTCCTAAATATATTAAATTAGATCACTATATAATATACATATGATACATGAATTACTAAACAAAAACCCAGAATTTTATGTGTGTCTATATGTCCAATGTTCAACTAACTTACGGTTCAAAATCTTATCCATATATGCTACTGGCAATGTATGAAATGCCAGCATTCTATAGAATGCCTGGCATTGTTAGGCAAAGTATAAAATATGAGAATTATTATACACTTTACCTAGGCATTTTATAGAATGACAAATGTGCTTTAAGCAAAGTACGAGAAAAAGCATAAAAAAAAGTCATGATAAACTATTTAAAAGACGTTCATTTCTGAAAAATACAAATGTTATTTTGAAAAAATAATGAAAGTCTGCTACTAAAAAACTTTTACTTTAAATACATGGAAAAAAAAATAGTGAAATGATCTTGGTACACCATAATAAATTTCTTTTCTATCTGACTGGAAATCAATAAGATCTACCTGACAACAGGAATTAAATTAAGAAAACTCATTTTAAGTTTCATAATAATGCCCTTTTTAATACCTTTTTCCTGGCAGGGCTCACAAAGGTGGATGTACAGTTCAATATCATTCCATGGCATTCAGTTAAAATTTCTTCAATATTCTGTCACGTCTTCCATGCCCAAAAGCCAAATGAATTTCATGAAGAACATGAAATAATTAATGCTTTCCTTAATAGGATAAATGAGTTTATCTTTGTTTTCCATAAACATCACATCATAGCGATTCAACAACCAATGGTTCCATGCTTCCTTTGTAGCAGACATTTTGGCTTTTACATCATTTATTAACTTCTGGTTAGTAGTTTGTTATTTGAAAAGAATCACAGATGCATTTCATACTTTGCGATTTGTCATTTGACATTCTATAAAATGCCTAGGCAATGTGTGAAACATTTAATCATTTCATACATTGCCTGCCAGCTTTTGGCACTCTATAGAATGATGGATTTCATACTTTGCTGGTTACATATATATGCACACACTTCTTTTGTTCAGCAATTAGATTAGCTACTATTTGATTACATACAAAATAAAAGTATTGAACTTTTTATTTCTCTTCATTTTAGAGTTTTACAGAAAATTAAGAATATTCTTGCCAATAAATAATAGCTTAAAAGTTCATGCAAGTTTTATTCCCTATAGCTAAATTTGCAGAGAACTATATATTTAAATATTTGATATTAGATTTAAAAGCTTTAAAAGTTAGAAAGCTAAGTTACTGAACTAAGCACAAAATTTTATAAGCCAGGCCTTTTAAGCAGCATATTTTTTCTTAAAACAATAATAAACTCACAAAATGTACATTTAATGAATAAAAGCATGCAAATATTTAGAGCCTGGCCAGGGTTCAACTGCCATACCCTGGGGCTGGATGCCATTTCCCAGTACTCTGATCTTCCAGACGTCCACATCAGATGTGATGAGGGCAACAAATGGTGATCCTTGTATGTGATGTCTGTCATAGGCGATGTTGATGATATATTCTCCCACCTCAGTTGGGAAATAAGCAACTGAACAAGTGCCATCACCATTGTCCTTGCAATTAATAGCTGCCTCACATGGACCTTCAATAGTTATCCCCAAGTTTCCATGACCTGCACCTCTTGTATCAACAATAAATTCAGCTGGCCTATTTACAAGTCCTTGATCAAGACCAGGGCCATATGCCAGAACTTTGCTTGAATCAGCGTTGGACATGCACATCAAACAGTAAGGAGAAGGTGTCAGAGGAATTCCACCAAATGATATGCTCAGTAAATAATGACCCAGTTCTGTTGGAGTAAAGTTGACTAGAAAACCTTCTGCAGTAGGAATGATGTGTGCTTTTACTCGACGGCCTGAAGGACTGGTTATAGAGACAGCAAAATCAGCTTGGTTGACACCAGCACCTTTGGTTATCACTCTGAATTGTTGCAGGGAGTTTATAGGAGCCGCTGATTGGGCGAGAGTGTATCCATTTCAACCCAGATGTCATCTTCAGCACTAAATTTAATACACTAAGGTTGTAAGCAGCACACAGGGTTACTTCATGGAATTATGCTCATGCTAGTTATGCAGTGCAATCTGACATAATATCATGCTGATAAAATATGACATTCTTAATACTTAAATGGCAAGTACACTTTGTCAGTATTGAATGCAAAAATCTTGTAAACAGCATGCTAAGGAAAATCCAAGGATCATCATGCATTTTAAAATTAGGCAAAGATAATGCAATATTGAATATTTGGAAAAGTTAAAAATATAAATGCAGTAGCTATGCATACTCCAAAATTATGAATTTTAGGAAGATATTCCCATAAATGAAAAACCTAACTTTATACACTATATTCATCAAAAGAATCTCTTAAAAAAGGGCTCATTTGGATTTTGTTACTTTATATTTATTTCACTTTTCAAAAAGCTATATTTCATATGCTCGGTTAATAATTAAAAAAAAAACATTAATAGCAAAACAATGAAAGATAGGGGGGAAAATGTCAAGATAGAAAAGAACAGAAAAATAATCAGGCAGCCAACACATTACCAATAAAGAGCATAGAAAGAGCAACAAAGTACCTTAATGCCTATCATTAAAAGTGCAATGCCTGAAATGATATGACAGCAATATTGAAGACCATGTATTAACCCCTTAACTGCCACGGGCGTATATATATGCCTTGCTCAGCCGATGCATTAACTGCCCTGGGCGTATATATACGCTTTTCCAAACTACTATCATTTTGCTTTGCGCTGCTATCCGTAAAATTATTCGCAAAGCTTTGGAATGCAACACCACAATGACCTTGTCAAAGTATGCGAAGGAGGATACTATTTCAGAGAAGTGTGGGGAGAAATTGGAGAGAGGGGTGTGTCTAAAGTGGTGAAATTAATGACTGTGCAGTATTGGCTGGTGTTGTTTGAGTAAAACATTTTTTTTATTCTGTTTCCTCCATTTTTGTATACTTTTTGTAGTAGGTTCTAGGAATAAAGAAAGATATAATGGGTTGTTTCAAACCCATTTATCTTTTTTGAATTATTTTTTGATGAACTGCTTGTGCTTCATATTGTTACTGAAACTAACCGTTTTGCAGACGAGTATATGAACCAACACCTTGCAAACGAAAAATCAAGAACAAAATCGTGGCATTGAACCAGTTCACAAGAAATATATGTTTTTTTTTAGGCATACTGATTTCACAAGGTATATCACTGAAACCTGATATTACACTTTACTGGTCTAAAAATGAATTGATCGAAACTCCATTTTAGGGATCTTTTTTATTATAAAAACAATATTTTTATTATACTTACAACTTTTTATTATACTTTTACTCAAAACATTAAATTTTGTGCATTCATTTTTTCTTTTATTCTTTATTTTGTGAAAGTAAACAGTTCTTAGAAAGTAAAACTTACATTTATTTTTCCCCTAATACATTGCATAACTACGTGCACCTGTGTGAAAACCGTGGCATTGGGAAATGAATCTTGTACATTTTCCACAGGAGTTAAGGGGTTAAAAATTAAATAATTAAAATAAACTCTGTTAGGCTAATAATTTACAAAATAAATAGTATCTCATATTGTTACTATAAGCAGAAATAATTAAGACTACATGGTCATGCACAAGAAGGATAATTGATGTCTGTTAGAGATATAAAAATCCATGTACATTTGATATTTTGTGTAACTGTTATGCATGAATCAGTTCATAGCAGATTGAATACACATAGAACTGATGATAGCTTGATAAAATTTATTTTACCAAAAGAAACACTTTAAGGTTCTAAAAATTTTCATAAAAATAGTCATACAGCTCTTGCCAGTATCTTAGACACAATCCGTATTTACACTTCAAACTACCAAGAATGTAAAACACAATGCAATGCAAAGCGCATCTAAAAGGCGAAGCTCTCATGCATATCCCAGTATGCTAAATTCAGCTTTGAACTAACAACTGAGAAACTAATCCTCTCTCCAGTCTTGTATTGTCTTTCCCTGGCCATTAATAAATCTCTAGTACTTCTCGAAATTACCAAAAAGGCATATGAGGGCTGAATACTGTTACAGTTACACAGAGGATCAATTACAGTTATTCACTTACAATATCCATTACAGTTACACAGGGACTGGACCAAAATGTCGGCAGGTTTGGAGACTTAGTAATTTCTCACCAAATCTGGCGGCAAAACCATCACCATTTGGCAATATCTCACCAGTTAAGTGAGATAGCCATTTATTCATTGTTAAATAGACTTCTCCCTGTATTCTTACTTCCCAGCATTTTCCTGGGTTATTTAAATTCGCATGTTATATTATACAAAAAAATACTATAATTTCACTAAATATATCTACATACATACTAAATTCATAACAATATGTTATATTCTTTCAAATAATGCAGTTGCAGAAGACTATGTCTTATGAATCAGTATAAACAATGCAATGGCCACACAGCAAAAATGCTCTCTAGATGCAATGTCCCAATGTGCAATTGAACATATGGCTATTATGTAACACATCCTGATAGATGATAAAACTGTTCCAGCTCTCTTAGACAAGCACACCATACAGTTAAGCTACCTTCTCATTTATCTGCTGATTGCTATTGTAATTCCTCATACTCATGTTAATCTCTCTTATGATGGAAGCCACATTCTCATCAGTGCCATATGATTTTGTCCATTACAAGCATTGGTGTATTGATAGAAAAATGCCTCTTTGTTCTCCTGATGTTACAATTCTTTCTTTTTTCAAATCATGGATCCTGGTTTTATCACTATTATGTTCTTCAATGAAACATTCACAGCAGTGAGAAAAATCCAAATGAATACACTTCAAGTATTTTATATTGGCTTTGTTTTATGAGGCATAAGTCAGTACTACACTCATGCATGATTTATATATCTACAGTATCACCCAAAGTGACAAACCTGCAGTATTTTGCTTTTTTACCCTACATATATTTTCTAAGTTGTTTTCATGATGTTTTACACTAGAAATTGAAAGATATATATTATTTGTTATTCACATGAAAGATGTGTGCTATTATCATTTCTTACTTTAAATCCCAGCGCTGATCCTCCCTAATTAAACCTGATATTCAAAGATGGAATACATTTGCACCTTTTTAATCCTAGCTAACCCTCGATATAATGCATGTACACAATTTTAGTCATAGGTACCAGTCATCAAGGTCAAAATTCCACTGGATGCTTTTACTTCCATTTATTCCCTGTGATCAATAATACCCCATTAAATGCCTAAGATCCCATTAGTCTCCAATATGGAATTAAAATGTTTTATCACTTAATCACATCCCTTAATCTCTCAGTAGAGCTTTCAACAGCCAGTGATTTTAAGGTACTTCCCCTCTGCAAACGCACTGCAATTACAAGACTTCATGCTTTGCCGGGGGTTTAAAATAGCATGCTCTTCAGCCTGTGAACAGCCCCCTACTTGCTTCCATACCAACTAAGAAAAAACAGAACTTTTATTGCCTTCTCAAACTGATTATCCCTTCACATATATACTATTTTCCAAGCTAACAATTTTACAAATTTATAGGTTTAACATAGTTTCAGTGATATGAATATATTATTAACCATATCCATGCTTTGAGTCTAAAATTGCACAGATTTCAGGCCAAACAGGTTTGTATATTCTAATATTGTGGTTTTAATGCTCAATAATATGTAAAGTCCAAATTTAAACTTTAAAAAATGGTAAATTTTCATCCTCAGTATCCAGTATGAAAATACTTATAAAAACTAAATTCACAATGCACCAAAAGTAATTTATATTAAAACATGGAACTGCAGATCATTAGCAAAAATGCACAACACAAAAATTTCATATTATCTTAGCTTTTAATTATCTTTTTTAACATCAAAGATTTTTATTAATCTCCAATATTATTTATATTAATTTTTTTTCTGGTGTAATCTGATAATGATGTGTCACTCATACATTTAAATTCTTAAAAAAAGTACAAGAACCCATTGTAAAATTAACAACAATATTTTAATAGTAGCACCTCTCTTTCTCTGCACATGTATATCATCTGCTATTTTTTCTTTCTTGATTCTCAGAAATAAGAGGTTTATAAAAGTTTTTTTTTTTAATTTCAAAATACCAATTTATTAAAAAAGATTACACCTCAAAAAAAACAAATTGCAAAAATTTTAATGAGCAACAGAAGTTTCAATATACTCATTTAAATTTTCGATTTTGGTGACACTGGAGAAAATTTGTAATGCTTAATATCCTTCACCTTACACTGTGAAAAGTATAAGAGGAAGAGAAATGTATAATAAATCCCAAAAGGGCATAAATGATAATTATGATTAAAATAATTTCCCATGGAATAATACATTAGCAATACTTAAAATTAGGAAATACTTCATATTTATTTCAAATTTAATTTAAAAAAATGATCAAAAAGTTTGTTGGTTATCTTAAGTTCTGCTATTGATCACAGAGATATGACTCAATTATAGCCGAGTCCTATGCACTTTTCATCACAGAGACAAGGAGTGTCTGTAATAACTACCCTTTTGCCAGCTCCATCCCAGTACTGAATAAACAAGATAGAGTTTGAGAGTCTCCTATCCCTTCTTCCATGATTATCAGTCTCCTGGTAATAACTTCAAATATTAGATTTTAAACTGAAATTATTAGAAAAACCAGTATAAAACTATTCACAAATATCTGCATTCTACTTTGGATTTAAATTTCAGTCCTTTGATATGAGAACAGTTTCTAGCCACTGCACTGATGGCAATTCTCCCCCCCCCCAATCCAAATATCAAAATTTGCCTTTTACAGAAAGTAGAAAAAATATAAGATGAAAGTCTCATTTTGGCAATACCGCAAATAATGAATTTCATGTTATGCTACTTCCTTACATTCGTTCTGTTTCAGCAAAAAGGATTTTATGCCAAATAATTCGAGCCTAATCATGAAAATTTACCGTTATTGAAGCAAGAATTATTATGGAACATTTTATAATCCCTGTTCCACTGAGAGGAAAGTTTTTACATAAACTATGAAATTTAATGTTTTTGAACTCTAATAACTTCCAGCAGGAATTCTTACTTAACATTTTATAATCTCTACTCAGCAGAAAATATTTATTCTTAAAAAATTTAACTTAAAATTTCTGGAGCTAACATTAGCAGAAAATTCATATTTACAACATACTAGGAGAAAAAAATATCAGCAAAGCTAGATTCAAATATCTAATATGACAAACAATTAAGAAAAATGTACTAATCATGGTATATTTAAAAATATAAAAATGAAATGATGATGCATTATGTTATCATATTAAAAAAGTTGTTAAAAATGCTACTCATGACAGGAAGGATCTATGAAACAGGAGCAGACTAAATGTTAAGCAGCTAAATTCAAGCACTTTTGCTATAGAGATATTAAAGTAATGTACTTCAACATGCAGGTGAAAGTTCTACTTATAGAAGACATTAATATTTTTAGTATTCATTCTACTTACAATGTAAGAACTAAGGCAGCATGAAACAGTAAATTGATAATTGTGAAATATAACAAATACAACAGAAAAAAAGAACTAATGCAATATAAATGTACAAGCATTATATATTTGGATAAAAGTACAAGCATTATATATTGGACACACAAGGGAATACAAAAAGAATACCTGAAAGGGCTGCACAGTGAAAAGTAAAAAAAAAAAAAAAAGATAAATATTTAATTAGCCTACTTAACAAAGTGAGAATTTTAGAGATTTGAATTTAAAAATTGTTTTAAAATAATTAAATGTTGTATTGAAAATAAAAAAGACATACATAGTTTTCTCAGACTTGTAAAAAAATTTTAAAATCAAGATTAAAAGTAACTTAACATTTTACAGTCAGTGTCCCAAATGACTAAAAGAAAAATGAAAAAAAAAAAAAAAAAATTAAGGTTTATTATAGTATGTATCACATTGAAAAAAAACTTTAGAGAATCCTGAGTATTTCTTAGCTAAAAATGAACTGGATTTTTATAATACAAAAATAATTTACATATCATAAAAAAATCTGCTTCTGTTACTTTAAAATGTTAATATTTTATTTTTATAATGAATCTTAAAAAAAATGTTATTTAAAAAAATGTTTAAAAAAATTTCAGATGAAAAGTTTCCTGATACTGTGTGTCAACAATTAGTACACTCAACATTCACATAGAGTATAAAGGATATATGTTTCATCAAATAAAAGGTTATTAAATAATAAAATTGTCAGTATTTAAAAGTTTACAATGTGATTTTTGCATCTGAATGTGAAAGGATCAAATCTGATTTTATTAAATTTTAAAACTGAAATTTCTAGAACATACAAAATATTTTAAAAAGAAAGCTATCTTGCCGAAGAAAAGAAAACTGAAGATGCATATAAAATAATTTTTACTGCTCATTTGCTAAAATGTTATAAATTTTGGAGATAGTATAATTTTTATTAAAGCCAACTATCAACAGTGAAGAACTTAAAGCATTTGCTCTCACATGTCTGAAATGCCTAAAATTATTATTATTCATGTACACACAAAAAAAATTAATGTTAACAGTACATTATAGTATATGTTAAAAGTGAAGTTCATTCCTAAAATATTCTTTTATGCATTTATTTCTTAAATTACCAAATAATCATCCAGTAATCATAAAAGACTATCGGATGAATTTTCAATTTATCTCATTTCTTGCTAGAAGCAGCTCAAGCAAAGCAAAATCCAAATAAAAGTATGTATTATGATGCTGATCTGACTGTTACAGAAACTGCAAATTAACAGAAGAAAGCTCCCTCCTCTAACTTACTAGAAAAATAACAGCTATTGAGCACAAATCAAAGTTAAACTGAATGTAATATCCCAATATTAGCAAAGTCTAACTTAAATCTTGGCTCCCTAGACTGATTACTTGCAACGAATAACAGCAAGTAAATCTTCACCAGCAAGCTGATTACAAACATAAAAAATTCACAGTAACCACTAGTCTAAGCAGCTAAACTTTGAAATCAACTTTAAAATAATTTGCATTCAGGTGGAAGTTGACAAAAGTAGAATGATTGATAATGGTTATTTAAAATCAATATGTTATACCTTTATTATCAGATACTTCTTTAAATTGACACTACCAGTGTGAATTAGTATGTATTCTTATTAGTAGCTGATACAAAGTAGTGAAAGAAATTACAAATGCATTCATTTACGTTTTAACTTAAACACTTGGATAAAATATTTGCATATGTAAATTTCAGCTACCTTATGTACAGTAATTATGATTTTATAAAATATAAATTTTTAGTAGAAATATTTGAAAAACTGTATCTATGATTCACTAAAAGCTACATTTTCAATCTATTTTACCTATGCCTTTTTATTTATCCTGAACTTGCCTTTTTTTTTTTTTTTTTTTTTTTTCTTTTTTTCCCCTGAATTTCCTTTTGAATTGCCTTTTTATTAGCTAATAAATGAATGTAGAAAATTAATATGATGTTTCTTTTAAACATAAAATACTTCAAGTATATTCTGAAGTCTTCATGTATCAAGAAATTTTTAAATAAATAAAATTGCCAAAAAAAGTACGAGCATACAAAACTAAAAAATGCTTTTGTTCTCCAGTGAGAAAAATTTCAGCAGAAAAACTCATTAAGACTTAATTTTGCACTTTAAAACTGTACTAAAAACCACTGCATAGCCCTTGTCAGAATTCTATGCAATATCTGACACAATCAAATATTAGTCACAATGAACATCAATTTTACTATAAAATCACATAAAAGACAAGTTATATATTTTACTACTACATATTAAAGCAAAATATTTAAAGACATTTAATGCATAATTATTTAAAAATTTGAAACAAGAAGATTTAAAAAAATTTACTTGGTTCTAGGCCATCCACCTTTATTTTACTAACATCTACCTGTGGTTCTACTTTTACTTTAATTGGACTGTTAGGAACTTCCTTTCCAGCAAATGCCACAGAAACCTAAAGTAAACATACCATTAAGTGATAAAATTATATGTCTATTAGCATATATCTTCCTTTATTTTAATTATTGGAAATAAAGCTTCCCCCCTCTTTATTTTTTCCCTTTAATTCTTCTAGCACTAAAAAAATACATTTATCAAAGCTCTGTTCAAGAGAAATTAGATAAAAAATTTGAAGAAGCTGAAAGTATTGATGTATCAAATGATGCAAGACAAGGAATATTACATGTTTAGGGAATAATTAGATTAACTATAACAGGAATAAAATATTCAATATTATTTTTTAATCATTATCAGTATTTCTGCAAACCATAAATAATGATACATCAATAATAATAATAATACTCCCTACAAAAAGCATCTTCAAAGAAAATCATTTTGAATTGTATATGATTGTCTTTAAGAGGTTTTCACTGTATTTTGAATGACTTTACCAGAAAGCACAATATGCATTTAACCTTTTCTGGCATGCTACCTTTTAAAGTTGGAATTTCAACAAAAAAAAAAAAAAAAGAAAGAAAGAAAGAAGGTGGGCAGTCTAATTAGGCCTAGAGAAGTACACAAATAAAATTTTGTGAAGATAGCACTTATCGTCTTAATTTTGTGGATGTGCCCAAAGCGGGCATACTGACTGAATAGAGCTTTGAAAAGAGTGCTGAAACGAGCATTGCTGAGAAGCGTGTAAAAGAGTAAGAGATTTTGCCTACAATTAAAAAATACTAGATTCTGAATACCATAGGAGATTTAGCATTACCCAGGGTGCCACAGAAAGACCTGCTACTCTACACCCTCCCTAAAAAGCTCTTTTTTTGGTTATATGATCATTACATGCACATCGATGGGGGGGGGAAAAGTAACTTGGGTATATGATACTTACATTATTCACATTTCATATTTACCCTTTAGTCTATTTTTTTTTTTTTTTTTTCCATGCTGGTACTTTTCAAAGAAAGTTACACCACCTTTGAAAAAGCACAACCCAATATTGCATGTTTTGCACAAGTACAGGAATCCGTATCAGATTCACTATCTGAAAGCAATTCGTGTAGCACTTTCAGTGCTTCATAAATGGTCAGCCCTCTATGATCCATTTGGAAAATAGTTAAAAATTCGAAAAAAATAAACTAATATTATATCTACAATTAGAAATTATAAACTATAAAATAAAATTATATAAACGTCTGCAATTCAAAACTATTGAACGTAGCGCTAGCGAAACTTTGAACGAAAGAGAAAGAGAAAAAGAGAACTGCTCTAGTGAAAAACTAAACAGCTAACTGATAAAATTACCTTTGACCTTCAGAAAATCACCCCAACAATTTGTTAGTTGATAACCAAACGTCCTCTCCCTTCCCCCCCCCCAAAAAAAGAGAAAAACAAGAAATAAAACACAGATGTGGATCTATCTTTCTATGAACTGACCAATGAGATGCAGAGAAACAAAGAATACAGTCTCTCAGTTGTCCTAGATTCTCGGTGAACCCGGTCTGGGAACACCTGAGGAACCCAGTCTGGGAACACCTGACTTTAAGCAAGATTTCAAGGTAAAAATTTAAAACTAATATAGAATAAGGAGATTAGCATACACCCAAAAAAATAACAGAAATTTCTTTTCAAACAATTTCTTTTATACCCTTACAAAAAACGGAAGATTTCTTTGAAAAATAAGAATCTTAAAAAACTAAACATGGCTAAAATATATGGACTGGTTTGTGTTGAGCTGCCATCTACTATAAATAAAGAAGGTTCAGAGCAACCTATAAATCCTTTTTCAATTAAATTTTTCTACGTGTACAGAAGGAAGTTTTTAGGTGTGCCCAAACCGATAACACCGTGCCGCAAAGGGTTAAACTGATTTACACAAATGAACTACACTGACAAAAAAGACACACACATGCAAAATCTGCATTTACTGACTGGCATTAGAAATAGTGAGAAAAACAGCAAGGAATCAATGAGATTTTTAAATGAGGAAACTTTAAATATGGATATGTCTTTAGTCTGTGAATGGCGATAGAGAGCAATCAAAAGCTTTTAGAGGTACTAAAACTCTGTATTATTAGCAATTTAATAAATTCTTAATAGTGTTTATTTATCACAACATGTAGGACATGATGCCATTATGAAGTTATCAGAAATATTTTGAGATGATGACTAACAAACAAATCAAATTATTTTGAGCTGCAATAATAAAAGCAGTTGAAGACAGATTTTCTTGGCTTTCTGCCACCTACACAGCCCAAGTGCATAAGAAGAAAAGTTTGAAAAACAGACAGATAATGTTAGGTTCAAATTGATATTATTTATACAATTCAAAACAAAAAAGCTTTTATATGAAAATAGTACATGCATCGAGAAACAATAATTATCCTTAAACCACTAAACATAAAATTCCATATATTAAACATACCTCAGTATTCATATCGTACATAAAGACCATTCCCTGCTAGCATTTTTTTTTAAGTGGAGAAAGCACATGAATTATGAAATTTTTAAAATTCATTAAAAAAAATTTGTAAAATATATGATAATGTCATTCAAAATCACTTATCTTGCTACTTTCACATCACAATATACTATTTGTATATTTTATCATTTCTAATTTATCATTTAACTCAGCAAGTTTTACTACTTATATCATATTTATCGCTCACCTCCTCATTATATATAAATAATCAGAAAAAAAAATTATATCTACTTTACTGAGATCTTGTAAATTACACAAAATTTCACAAAATTTAACTTGCACAGTTGTTAGCACATACTTTAAAAATATGTAACTGAAAAACCTACCGATATCTTCGCATATTTTAAATCTCTAAGCACAAATAGTTTTTATAGCCACTTTTGAAGTGCTATATTCATACAGTAGATATTATATACTCATTTATATAGACTTATTTTAGTGTTCATCTTCATAATGTTCAGAATGATTTTTAGACAGAAAAAAACTAAGAACAAAGAATTTTAAGAAATAAGGTAATGCAACAAAGCAGACTCCAATCACACGACTGAGGGAAAAAAAAAAAAAAAAAAAAAAAAATCATGTTACTCAGAAATTTAATATAACTGGTAATAGGCATAATATTTCTAAGAATAGTACTTGTAATACATATTAACTGCGCTAATTAAGTCAGAATTAAATCATTAAACCCCTCCATGAGCATGCATGAACTATACTTGAAGTTTTCTAAAAACAAACAAATTTGGGAAGACAGAAAATGAAAACTTAACTTTAGATACAGAAGTACTTTTACCTTATAATTCCCTGGTGTAGGAGCTACATAATCAACTGAATAAGTTCCATCCTCATTGTCTAGAATTTGGACAGGAACAAGAGTGCCTTTTTCATCTGTCAGTTTCGCTTGAACATTCCCTAAAAGGTGTTAGAATAAAACAAGTAAATTAGAATACCTTAAAATGAAAAAAATCGAAATGCATTTCTAAAAAACAAAACAAATGACTAAGATAAGAAAAAGTTGCTATTACAATGAAATACTTACCTGTTCCAGCTCCCCGGCAGTCAATATTAAAATGCGTTGGTACTTGAGCTTTCACACCAGGTTCAACTCCAGGTCCAAAAATCTTCACTTTATTCGTATCTGTTGGTTCGCCAACATGGACCTATAAATGAGTCACTTTTTTTATTAAAGAAATAAATTATGTTTAAGAAATGGTTAACCACATAAATATTACTAAAAGTTTAAAAAAATAGTTTTTAAGGCTATGAGAAACTTACTCTGAAGGGACTTTTTGGTATGGCAACTGCACCATAATTTACTTGGACAGTATGCTTATTATTTTTAGTTGGGCGATATGAGGCTTTAAATGTGCCATCTTTGTTATCCTGGACTTTAATTTCCACTGGTTTACAGTCTTCATCCATGACACTGACATCAAGTGGAGCCTGGCCCCCTGCTTTTCGACAGTCAATAGTAAATTCAGTGGGTTGACCTTGTATAACACCTTTTGGTTGCAAGCCAGGACCATAAGCTTCAACCTAAATTTTCAAAACTCTTCTACATTTCATTCAGATTTCACACAAAAGAAAATTCAAACAAAGCTTTGATAAGAAAATATTGGTAATATCACTATTAATTATATATAAAAAAACAAACTCAAGTTCAGTAAAGAAAAATGGCATTGAAATTACAATTGCAAAATTACACTAAATGTTATTTTTCCCACGATTTACAACATACTGCCTGATGAAGAAAATGCCTTACCATAGAAAAGAAAATGCATAGCCATGCCAGTTACAGACAGTGCACATGTACAAGTTATGAAATGCTGCATTTGGAAGCCAGTCGGATGATTAGCATGCTGGATTAAGGATCAAAACAATGCAAGGAGCCAATTTTTTTGGCATTCTTGTGGCTATAATTTGCACATTTTTCAATTTGTTTCCAAATGTAATGAATTAAAAATACGAAATGATGTAAGACACTGTAATCAGTATCACCACATGGCCAAGTCACAAGGAGCTTCATGCTAGGTCTCCATATTTCTGATCAGTGCTTTCACCATAAAGGAAATGCAGGTGGATGGTCCTGCTTTGGTTGAATTTGACAACAATGAGCTCAGGAAATATACAGGGCTGTGCAGGGTTTGGAGCATTCAGATAAACACAAGAGATCTAACTGCTTCATAAACAACATTCCATATCTGACCCATGGTTCATAAGTCCAAACATTTTGCAAAATACAGGACAAAGCATACTGGACACTACTCAAATATCAACATGAAAGTTTCATGATGACTGGCGGACACAGTTTTGACGTCCAGCCATTGTTTATGAAATGCTACAAACTGAATTTGATGTCCAGCCATTGCTACAGAACTGAAAACCCTTTGGAGACAGGTGTGTCATATATGCATCAATACAAATTATCACTAGTAGCCGGATGATGCACTAGTGCATCACCACTTGCATTGATCTACCAAACAGGTGTATCACATATGTATTATCAAACGTAGACATTCTTTTAGAATGTTTTTCAATCACTAGATGGCACTTTGCATCTGTTACATCTAGACATTCCGTATTTATGATTATAATACTGTTAGTTATGATTACAGAAAAAAATCAAAGCAATTGTTAGGTAAAATTATTTATTTTTTATTTATTTATTTATTTATTTATTTTAAGTTAGGCTTTAGTGACATGAAATACGCCATCTTTTACCTGCATTGCAAACTATGCTGAGCCACTGAACAAAATTTTGATGCAACTAAAGCATCACTTGTCCACGAAGAGAATAACTATTCTGATAAAATATTTCATTATTTAAAAAGAACTATGTTCTTCTGTGCATTTTTGTCACATGTTACAGTCTATATTATTTGAATTATTTAATTTTTGCTTTTCTGCTATTTTGGGATCACACAGTACATTGTATAGAAATAATGTGAAGAATATTAAGAATTCCATCATTTAGTCAAACATCAGCATTTATTTTACACCATATGCCATATACAATACTAAACTAATTCTTTTTCATAACTCTTAATATAAATACTACATCATCTATCTTCATGTGTGAGGAACTCCTACATTTACATTTCTTGCTGGATATTTGATAGTGTAGCAACACCCTCTATCAATCTAGCTTCAACCTAAATTTTCAAAACTCTTCTACATTTGCCAGTAACATCTTTTATCATCAAGAAAGTTCTATTGAATGATATGGGTAATAATCACGTACAATATGTAGAGAGTACAAAGTTTATATTTAGACCTTTGTATAACTGTTAATCTGGCTTTGGATGAAGGAATATTAGCAATTTTTTTTGGGGGGGGAGGGGGTTATACGGATGAACATATTTTCTTTCAAGTCACATCAGAGCTGGTTACATCTTGATCGCTTTAATAAAACTATGTAAAAATTTTTATTACCTTTGAATGTATTCTCTTTAAATTATTTTTATTTTACAGACAATTTTATTTGATTATCAGTTTTTTTTTTTTTTTTTTTTTTTTTTTTTTTTTCAGTTGATCTACATACAATTCAAAAAATAACTATTTTTTAGTTGCAACTTGACAAAGACCAAAGAGGTCTATTGTTTAATATTTATTTAATCTTTATTTTTTTCCATTAATTTTTTTTCCAATTTTTTGCTACAAACTGATTTTAATTGTCAGATAGTTTATCCCTCTTGGCTGATATTAATCCTATATATTAACTTTATTTATTATATAATAGTTTTAAATTTGTTATTTTAAATAAATGTAGTATTAATACTCTGAATATTCTTTCCTCCAAAGCCAGATTAACAGTTATACAAAGGTCTAAATATAAACTTTGTACTCTCTACATATTGTATGTGATTATTACCCATATCATTCAATAGAACTTTCCTGATGATAAAAGATGTTACTGGCAAATCTGAAAAATTTTGGAAAGAGCATTATACATCTCCCAGAGGGATTTAAGGAAATAACAGAACAAAATGGATTGTATATAACTTAGTATTAAGTAAAACTGTATTTTTCATGCTTTACTTATTAATAAATGAAAGAAACTTTTGGTAATCTAATACATTATACACACACTAGTATTTGTACGCAAATTCAGATGCATACATATACACAATAACTTAATAGTTATGGAATCAGCATGTATGGAATTTTAAATGCCTTGATTACAAATAATAATGATCATAATATCTGATAATAATATAACTGATGAACCTAAACCTCAATACAAGACAAACAATACATAACATTACCTTTTCTGGAAAATAATCTGTTTTTGGCAATATTTGGGCCATATATGGAGACTTAGGAATGTCTTCATCATTACACAATATATGTACAGCATATTCTCCAGGAGCAGTTGGAAGGTATTCTACATCTGCAGACCCATCACCATTATCATAACATTTTATGTCTGCATGAGATGGACCTTCAACTAGAAAGCCTAAAGCAAAAAGGATATAAATTCTTTTACAATTATGGTAATAAAAGAACTTATATTTTACAATTTAATTGCATGCATTTATACATTTATCTTTCCATTTATGTAATAGGATACAATCTAACATGATCTAATAATAATAATATGCTCTCTTAAAATTATGTATAGATGTATTTATACCCAAAAGGAGCAATATAAATACAACTGTAGGTTTCACTTCGCAACAGATTTCTTTACTCCTGATGAAAAGGGACTTAAACCTATTTGCCCTCGAAATCAATAGAACCTTAACTAACATCTATACCAAACAAAAGGTTGCTGCTTTGCCTAATTCTATATTTTACTTTGGCACGTTTCTTATCTGTCCTGAAAACTATCTCTCTCTCTCAGGATTTTGAAAAAACTTAGGTATTTGCCCTATAAACTGCTAAGACAAATAAAAGTCTTAATTAGAGGTAATATAAACAAAGACAAGAAAAAAATTATATTTCAGATTTAAAAAAAAAAAAAAAAAAAAAAAAAAAAAAAAAAAAAAAAAAAAAAAAAAAAAGGAAGCAAAAAAAAAAAAAAAAAAAAATTCTACAAGAAATTTTATGAGTATATTGTAAAAGAATTTGCAAGTAAATAATATTTGGAACTACAGTCAAAAGTCTTTAATCCGGAATGATCTATAATCCGGACCTCAAAGCTACAAACTTTCTGTGCATGCATTTACGCATGCGCATTTAATGTAGGACGGACGGTATAAGCTAAGCTAAAATTCTCTAATTATCTATTTCGGTTAATGTTGCAGATTGCATTGTTCCTTAATCTTTGAATTGGATCCGGCTTTGTTATTTTTTGCAGACTGTTAGAGCAATTTTTATAAAAAATAAGCTTGAACTTTCGATTATGTCAAAAAGAGTTTCCGATTCTGGAGCTGCCAAAGGATCTACAAAGCGAAAGCATGTTTTGATGTCCATCAAACAAAAAGTGGAATTGCTGCAAAAAATGGATAAAGGCATATCTTTTGTTTGTCTAATCATTCCGAAATCTGTTTATCAATTTCACGCTGCTCTGGCGGGGGGGGGGGAACAGACGTCACGGCACGCAATGAACTGAAAGTTGATCTGTCAGCACTATCCTTATCTTCAGGGCAGATGTTTTTATTTTATTCGGCTTATAATTCCCTACTAAATGTAGTATATCATCTCAATGTACTCCGTCTTTGATATAATTTAAATCAAATTCCTCGTCATTATAAATATCACGAATACATATAAAATAGTTTTCTGGTTGCAATTTTCTAATTTCGACTGTGCATAATGTATGCTTTACGCATGCGTGCATTGAAAGAAATGTTTATTAAAGTAAACAAATAAATATTAAGCTTTCTTTTTTTGTAAATTTTGATACCCTTTAGATCATAATTGCTCTTTATTTCATAAATTACGGTTTCATATTTTTAATTTTATTATTTCTGCATGCCATCTTACCAGATTTAAATTGATGATCTATAATTGAGAAAAACTGATAATCCGGAATCGTGGAAGTCCTGACGAGTCCGGATTAAAGACTTTTATCTGTATAATATAAAAAAACTATTTCATGGCAATTTCGAGGGAAATCCTCATCTTTGTTCTTGCATTTTGTTAATAAAAATTATTCTTGTATTATATTAACATACAAATAATATTTGGCAAAGGACTTAAGCTCTGCTTTTCTTATGACCCTCTTAATATAACAAGGTAATTAAATAAAAAAAATTATTGAGATATTTTTCACTGGTCACTGATCATACATGAGACATAAATGAATGCTTACCAGTGTTACTGAAACAAATTTTTAAGGTACAAGTTAAATTATGTCTAATACTTTTTTAATTCTTTAAAAATTATTCAAAATTTAAGAAATAAAATTTTTCTCACAAGAAAGTTTTTCTTCTTTTCTTAATGTCATTTCATGTATTAAGTTATTTATAACCATCATGCCTTTTCAAAAATATATGATTTTTTTAATCCCATTGACACCCAAATAGTATTTAAATTTATGCTTATCTCAAAGATCTAAGTGGGAAAATAATAATTGTTAAAACAAATTATCAGCGCTTTTTGCACAAAAATACTTTACACAAGTATTCTTATGCAGAATTATATGATGAAGTACAAATGTCAAATTCAGAAAAACAAATATTGTAAGAATATATTAAATCTAATGCAGATTCTATATCAATTTCTGTTTTCATAAAACTTAAATCCTCTGAAAGGGAACTGAATTAAAGGTACCATAAATCACATTTAAGATGAATGGCATGAATAAAATTTTTAATTTAACATGCATTTCATGTGAAATTGCATGCATTTCCAAATATACATAATAAGACATTCAAGATTTTAAATTAATAGTTATAGATCAAAAGCAAAGTAACAATATCTACCTTGGTTTTTATCTTTAACAGAGACCTTGTAAGAGTAACAAATGAGCCTTTCACTACAATGGAATTCCATTCCTAAACTACTTTTCTTGTGTCATTATTTGAGGAAGGGAATGACTTGTAGAAAAAAATTTACAGTACAAGATTAAAAAAAGAAAAAAAACACCCCACAGTGGTTTTTTTAAGGAAAAAAATTTAAGTACTGAAACTTATTTGGATCATGTCCATTCAGAATTTATTTGATTGTATAAAGCAGCTGAGTTTTATATGTGGTGCTGGGCCACATGCAGGATTTCGTTTTGGTTACAGATGCAAGGCTGGATATTTTGGAGGAGGGAATTGAATTGGATTATTCAATTATTGCAAAGCACATGAAAGCTTCTTCCTAAAGAAAGGGATGCCTTTGTGGAGGACTTTTTAAGGGAAACTTGCTCGTATACACGTTACACTTGGGGAAAACCACGAAAATGCCCATGCAGCCAGCCCGTTCGTGGAATTCGAACCTCGGACTGAACTACCAATGTTCAGCGTCTTTATCTCTTGGCTGCTGGTGGGCTTTGGGGGAGGGGGATATAAAAATAAGATCTTTACAAATTAAATGCACACATACCTGAACCTCTCTCTCCTTGCATACAACCCCACTGCTGAGGTTAATACTCTGTTCTGATATTCTGTTTAATATGCAAGTCACATACTTTTTTTTTTTTTTTAAATAAAACTTTCATTATTTTTTTTTCTGTGGATGACAAACGTCATTTTCATTCGGAAAAATTGTAGTTACTTCAACATGCTAAACAGATTAACACAATATATAAGTATATCAAACATTATCTAAAAATTTTATTCATTAGAATTTATTGCATATTTGTTAGTAGCTTTTCAATGGCGGTCTCCAAAACATGACATTGTTTGTAACTTTTTGTATTTTCACCTTTAAGTTCAAGAGCTCTTTTAAAAATTTTTAATGCTTGTCAAGACTCTGATGCTGTTGGAACAGGATCAGGATTGTCACCTTCAGACGCACTTTCCTTTTCACCAATTCCTTTGTTTTCTCTGATAACTTCACTGATCTCTGTATCACTCTTTTCATAGCAAGTCTGGATATTTTCCTCCATTCCCAAATATTCAAAGATGGTCTCATTATGCATTTCTTAATTGTCACCCTTGTCTTTCGGCACATCTTGAGAGTTTCTAGAAATTTGCTTTGGATGGAAGCTGGCTTTTTTAAAACAATTTTAAATCATTTGTGAAATTACTTTATCCCACACACTTAAAATAACATGCATGACATCTAAGAGAGAAATTGACTTATGCTGTTTCCTTAAAAGAACAAACCACATAAGTTGTACCAATTTTAATAATAACATTTTAAATTGCATCCTTCCTGTAATGACTCTTGAATGCTTTTATAACACCCTGATCTAATGGCTGAAGAATGCAAATTGTATTAGGAGGAATGAAACTAATTTGATGTTCTTCGATGAGAGATCAGTTAGATGGGCAGCAGTTATCTAACGAGCACTATTTTTCTTGCTGCTAGGTTCTTTATCGATACTTTGTAAAAAAATTGCTAAAAATATTACTTGTTGGTACAAGCATTTTTATTGTTGTAATAAGTCAAATGCTTGACACCTTTCAGACAACTAGGGTTTTTGCTGGCACTGATGAATAATGGAGTCTTTTTAACTGTTCCATCTAGATTACATGTTAATAACACATTAACACGTTGTTTCAGTTTCTGACAACCAGCTGATGACTCACTTTTAAACATTAAAGTGTGCTGAAAGAAGGCTTGATAATAAAGACGAGTCTCATCAGTGTTAAAAATTTGAAGCCATTTGTATTCTTGCAAAAGTCTGGCTAAATTCTTTTGTATCCAATTATTGGCTTCATTAGAGTCTGCATCTTGTTTCTCTCCATAAAATTCTCTGAAAACGAAACTGTTTCTTTATCTTGTGAGCCATCCAATGGTAGAGACAAACTCCTCTTCCAACAATTTGGTGAATTCCGTTGCCTTTTGATACAGGATTTCTTGTGGCATTGTGGTGTTCTTGTTCCTGGCATTTCAAAAACACTCCAAGATGGCAATTTCTATATCAGCAGACTTTCTACTTCGCTTCTGCTTATGTGAGACATTTGCACTTGCCATCAGTTCATACGAAAATTGCCTCCCTTCTTTACGGCAACATTCATAATGTAAATTGTGAAATTCAGAGTTGTACAGAAGCTTCACATTGGCAACATTTTGGTAAAGCATCATATTACTTCAACAATTCTTCTTTATCTTTTAAGCTAAGTCCTTGCATCTGGACACTTTGAGATATGACCAAACAACAAAAGCACAATATAGATGAGTGAAATGAATGACTTGTATAAGCAAAAAAAGATAGTGTTTTGTAAAGATTCTCCCTCACATCGTTTTCTTTTATGTTTCCCTCCTTCCCCCAACTAGTCAGAGCCAGTTCTGACAAACCTCTTGTAACTCATGCCCATCCATGTCCAGATTAAAAAACTATAGCATTTGCAACTCCACATATAACAGTGAATTGAAATTGAATAAAATCACTGAATTTGAAACACAAAGTTGGGGATTTTGACAATTCTAGATAAGAAAATTCTAACATTTGCACCTCCACATGCAAAACTGAATCGATTCTGACAAAATCAATTAACTTGAAACACAAACTTGGTGGTTGTGACTTTACAATGTTAAAAGTTATCTGATTTTAAACTTTTTAGATCGGGGATTTCACTCCTGTAAGAACCTTAAAAAGACGGGTTTTCGTTACTTGTGCTTTCCCCCTTTTAAAAAGTCCCTTGCCGTTGCCAACAATGGCACTTTAGATAGTTTGCTTCATCCTGAAAAAGAGACTTTCCTTTATAAAAGGAAGGGAAGTGTAGTGATTATTGTCTAAACTGTTTTCCTTATGAAGGAAAATTTAAAGGTGCAACTGATTCCAAATCAGACTACTCAATGATGCACAGAAGGGAATCAATATATATACATATATAAGGCATCATTCTATTTCTCCATTTTATAACTCATTAAAAAACATGTATGAGATTTTAAGTAATGATTTTAATTTATCCTACCAAATTAAGTGCCTTTATAAAGTGATAAAAATTTAGTTTTTATAGTTTGAAGTTATGTTATAAAATTCCTCCATATCTGTTATTTTATAGATATTATTATTATGATCAGGTCTCCATCTAATTTTTTAATGCATCTGAAATTTTTACAGACTTCACAAACATATTTTCTTAAATCTAAAAATATTCATGGCTTCGACAGCAAAGAAACATCATGCAAATGTCGCAGTAAACACAAATGTTATTTACTGTCATATTCTTTCTAGTGTTAATTTGTTTTGCTGTATATTTTATTTAAATTATCTAAATTCTTAAAAATTTTCTCCATGGAAGGAATAGTTAAAAAGTAAGTTTTTAATTATTTATATAGTGATGATTTTTTAAACTACATGGAAATGGTAAAAATTTTAATTGCAGAAAAATTAAAATTTTAAGTCTAAATAAATATTAAAAACTTGCATGAAAACGTAATGCTTAAGAGCAAAAACTGACAGTTTAAAATATCCAGTGTCTAGTTCAAATATGACACGAACTATGCATTGTTTAGATATTTCATGCTGCAAATATTTTGCAGCAAATAGCTTTCAAATCAGAAGGAAAAATTTGTGCAGTGCATATAGTTTTTGAAAGAATGGGAGGAATTTACAAGACAATTGTAAATGAGGTAACCTTCAAATTCTCAAGCTACAAGAATGAAAAGGGAATTATAAGGAAAACCGGATATGTAACACAAAGACCTTTGAAAGAGAAAAGTAGTTAATATTCCAGGGATATCAAACTTGACAGTTCACCCCACCGTTTCAGCTTGGAAAATGGGGGAAAAAGACATGACCACTAAAGTGGACATCCTTTCAAACAGGAGATATCAAGCCACTATAATGGCCATCCCATCCCCATAAGGTTAATAAGTAGTAACATTGATCTTATTAAGTTGTTATTTTATAAAGATACTGTATTCATTTGAATTTGCTCCTTGATTTTTAATTTTAATAAGCACTTGATGTTATAAAGCAGTGATTTTCATTAAATGGTACCCACTGTAACTTTAAAAAAGTTAATAAATACTGTTTATTACATGCAAACTGGTTATTTTACATATAGTAAAATAAATTTTAGGGAAAATTATATTCATTATAATATTAATTATATATTTTAAAAATTGGCATTTTCACTCTGATACTCTGCTTATGATTAAAACAGAAATAAAATTATATACACTAAACATGTGAATTTTACAGATATATCTAATAAAATATATTATAAGCATGCACAAAAATTATTAGCATCAAAAGAAAAATTTTCAAAATCATGAGATTTAGCTTATTAAAAATACTTAAATTTATTGATGATTTAATATTCAGTATAGAAGTCTCTGGCTTTTCTCAGCATTATTTACCTATTCAATAAGGATTTGTAATTATTTTAATATTTATGTCATGTTTCCATATTTGGATAAAACATTAAGGGATCCAATCAGTTATTCTCTCTCCCTTCCTGCCACCAACCACAAATTTTCTATAGCCTGAGTACTCCCTGAGTGAAGCAGTACTTTTTATGTTTAGTTAAAAATTAGAAACATTTTTCATTTTATGAAACGGTAATATTATACAAGATTCCTTTTTTTCCCTAAAATATAGCAATTTTGTGTTTGGGACAAAAATCACGTTTCTAAAATGCTAATATCTTGTTTTTATTTCAGACTTCTTTTTGTAACATGTAACTTTGGAAGATTTTCAACATTCATCACACTCCAGATCATTTCTGTTACAGGATGCTTCACAGCCCACTAAATACTATCTTAATGGCATCTTTTAGTTACCTACAAACCTATTGTGCTTTTTTATTAAAAGAGAAAATCAGCACTTTATAAAAACATACCTAAAGAAAATTGACCACAATTTTTCTGATTTTTTTTTTATCAAGGAAACATATAAGCACACTGAAAAATAAGATTACAAACAAAACTACAGTCATCAGTATAAAAGTTATTGTTAGTTATTGAAAGTTATTTTACATACTTTATTCTATTTTGCAATATCCTAATCCTTAACCTTTCCAACCTAAATATATCCCATTTTAGCCATATCAGGTTAACTTTGGCCATTATTCTGGGTCTAAAAACTATTAAACAATATTCTTTTCACCATCTCAGTTGATATTTTCAAAATCATAGAGGATAAGGGATTTTTTTATAGCGTTAATGATGCTTTTGTATTTAAAAACTTTTTTTTTCCATCAACTGTTGTCATGGGCTTCGTGTCAGTTTGATTTTTCTGTTGCACTTTCTTTTGTAAGTTGTTGAAGTAATTCCAATTCTTGAACGCGATGATTAGATTCACATAGTTTTGATTAACCCTGAATTTTGTAATAGTTCCTCTAATTATAAGTACTGTGATGACTATGAAATAGAAAAAGTATACAAAAAAATCTCATAACTTTTAAAATTAACTTTTTTAACAAATATTTGAACCACAAGAAAAGTAGAATTAAAAATAACGGGAAGAAGAATATTCTGCTAAAGAAACTAAATGATGTCTCAATTGTTAAAAAACATAACTATCCATTTTCTCCATAATAAAATTAAGAAATAACAAAAACATTTTAAAATAACTGTCAATATTTATTTAGAATTATAGTAATAATACTATTTATAAAATATCAATCTGCTTTACCAAAACCTAACTCTTTTTTATTTGAATAGTAATCTGTCTGTATCTGTACATAAAATGAATAAAAAAAATTACATTCATATTTATGAAGAAATTTTGCTGACAGCTGAAATATCAACTCTCAGTTTGGTTTGCACAGTAAAATATACCATAATACATACCAAGGGTTCCAGTTTCTCCATTTGTTTCAGCAGTAAAACGAGCAGGATATCCAACAACTCCACCATATAATCCTGGCCCATAAACTCTGATTCGAGATTCTTTGTATGGTCCAACATTAACTTCATATGGGCTTTTGAATATTTCCTGTCCTCCATATGATATAGTAACTATATAACGGCCTTCTTTATTAGGATAATATGCACATTCATAAGTATGTTCATTTACTTTACGAATGTCAAGCTTTTCTTGCACACCACCTAAAAGTTAATAGATTTTGTGACATTAAAAATTTAAATCATTTAAATTTTAGTCATACTATTAAAAATTTAACCATACCATTAAAAAATTCTGAAATAATAATAAGATGAGTTGAAAAATAATTCTTAAAAAACATGAAATAAGCTTCAAAAGATAAATATGTCAATTACGAGGGCCATCCAGGAAGTAGATTACGTTTCCGTCTGTGTCCGCTAGGGGCGGGGCTAGCGCGGCCATCTTGGGGTCAGAGCGTTGCGCAGCTCAGTCTGCATCTAGCCGTGCTAGTGAGAGGTTCGTGCTGTGCTCCGTTCAGATACTGTGACGGTTTGAAATGTCTGCGTTAATTGAAAATCCCGCGAGGTGCGCTCAGTAATAAGGTTTCTGACTGCAAAAAACTGTAAACCGATAGAAATCTATCGGCAGCAGCTTCGTGAAGTGTATGGGGACAACATTATCACTGAAGGTGGAGTGCGTCAGTGGGTCATAAAATTTCAAAAATGGCCGCCGAACCAATGTTCACGACGAAGATCGAAGTGGGAGACCCAGCATAGTGACCGCCGAACTTCTCGAAAAAGTCGATGCTAAAGTCCGTGAAAATCGAAATTTCACAATAACGGAACTTTCTTTGAGTTTTCCACAAATTTCGCGAAGTTTGTTGCACGAAATCATCAGCGAAAAGCTTGGTTACCACAAGTTTTGTGCAAGATGGAAGGCAAGAAGAGGTAACGAAGTGGTTGAAGGCGCAGGCGGAATTTTTCGAAGAAGGAATTTCCAAGCTCGTACATCGCTACGATAAATGCCTTAATTTGTATGGTGACTATGTAGAAAAGTAGTATTTGAGTGTGGCTTTCATCTGCATATAATAAAATTTGTTTCCTATACTTTGTTTATTTTTTTATTCCAAAACGTAATCTACTTTCTGGATAGCCCTCGTATATAAAAATACAATGTATATATCCTCACAGCACTGAATTATAAAGCAATCTTTAAAATGTTATAGCACATCTATTAATGCCAAAGTATCCAAGGACTATTTATCTGGGGAAGGCATTTGAAAAGGGAGATGCAAACAGATGTTTTAAACTCATAAAATAACTAGTCACGGCTTTTCAAACTCAATGAAAACAATCAACGTTCCAAAATTTTAGTAATTTAGCTTCTAGTAAGCTGGGATATTGAAAGTACGAAGAAATAAACAGAGGGATACAGGGGCATAAGAGGTCAGCACAGATATGACAGACCAAAGAACTCAAAAAAAAGGATGAATGTGAATTAAAAGTGCAAAATTTTGACATATAACAAGTTATACATCTTCTTGCAAAAATGAAAGTTAAGTATTTAATTAAATGACTCGAATAAGATTTACATTAAACTGATAAATTTACATTTTAGTTTTGAAGAATAATAAATTGTAATACTCAATAACTTTAAATACTGGAAAATAAAGCTGTATAATGGCAATTTCATTACATGCTTGAGAATTAAATTTAAGAAAAAAGCACTTTAATATACAAACAAGGCATTAAATTATCTAAATAGAATACAATATTTGAAATTACCTGCATTATGTATTGAAATAATTTAAATACTAAAAATATGCATTTAGAAAAATCAATTATCACACTCAGAAAGTTAAATTAAAGGTAAATGACAATTCTTTAATCCACAATTCATTCTCCATTGAGATAAGTGAAGATCAGTTTCATAAGAAGTTAAATTAATTGCAATATTTTGGCAAGAGAATTCACTGTAAAATGCAGCAAATATAATTTAATGCGAGTTTGCTAATATAAACCAGTCAATCTTAAAACTACATTTGAAAAATAGTTTATAAAGATTTACTTGCAGAAAAAATATTAATTAAACTAAATTATTTGCTTCATTTTTACAAATGTAACGGTATTATAATGATATTTTTTATTCAGATAGGTACAAAAAAAAAAAAACTCCTGACTCACATACATTATATATAGCATATACTGAAAGACTTACTTTCATGTTACTCTGATTTTAGCAAAATGAAACTTTTACAGTATTTCCTAATTACTTTTACAGTCAAAAATATACATATTTTAATTTTCTATTTAAATTAGAATTAAATATTTGAGCAATTAGTCACTCAAAAATTGATCTAAATGCAAATATAGAGGTTTTCTACACCAAATAATTACTATTTTAAAAAAAAATATTTATATTTCATATTAATTCCAATTACTTTTTTTGCCATTTTTTCAACATATTTTTCTATAGCATTTCCAAATTAATACACTGGTGTGCAAAACTTAAGCAACAGGTGTTCTTTTTGCCATAACTCCACAATAAATCATCTAAGAGACATGAAATTCAGAAATGAGAAGCAGCATTTTGTATTTAACCCTCTCAGCGTTACGACCGGAAAATTCCGTACGGAAGGTTGCCTTCCACATTCATTATACATGAAAATTTCTGCTAGTTTTTAATGTATCCAATTTCAGTTTGGATGTATATTGGAAGAAAAGGAATCAAGGTACAAAATGAAAGTCATTTTTTAATTAAAATCAAGAAAATATCACTTATTCGTGACATTTTGAGGAACTTTGAAATTTCAGGGCTAAACCAATAACACTCAGAGGGTTAAACGATGATGAAAGCATAGTTGAGCAAAAATGAATGCAATGCATACAGTACGGAATGAAGCAAAATAAGGCTTTATTGAACTCATAGTATCGTTACACATGATTGTCTGTATAAGAGGAAAAGCAACAAGCAGATATTCCTTAATATGGGATATGCCCTCCCCTCACTGCAATGGTTGCTTCGCACCATCTCCGCATACTCAGAACCAGCTGGTGCAACATTTCTTGCCATAGGAGCACCCATTCCTCAATCAGCATCTGTTTGAGTTGTTGGGTGTTCTCCGGAGGATGTAAGTGTGCTGCAATGCGTCTCCCCAAAGCATCCCACACATGTTCGATGGGATTTAAATCTGGGGAGTACACTGGCCAATCCATTCGAGTGATAACTTCACTTTCCAGTAGCTCCTCAGCAACAAGAGTCTGATGTGGCTGTGCATTGTCATCCATAAAAATTAAGTCTGGGCCAGTGGCACCTCGGGACAGACGCACATGGGGAAGGATCACTTCCTGACAATAGCGATCTTCAGTTACAGAACCCCTGATGAAAACGTGGAGCTCAGTCTGCCCGTTCAGCATAATGCCTCCCCAGACGAGAACTTCAGGAGTCTCTTTCCATGATATTACTGGGATGAAACCATGTCCCGACCTCTCTCCAAATCAAATGATGTTGAAAATCGCTTATACCACTAAAACGATTCTCATTCGTAAAGATGACACATTTCCATTGATGAGATGTCCAGTTTTTGTACTCTTTGCACCACTCTAAACAGTGGCACTGATGGCCAACTTTCAAAGGGATGCAGCATTCAGGACGGCGAGCGAATAGGCCACCTTTGTGAGGGTGTCTAAATACAGTAAACCACGACATTTGTTACCCCGTTGCTGTACACAGTTGCTGAACTATGGTGCTTGATGACTGATTTCAGGCTCTTTTCGCCTGCAAAACAATATATCGGTCATTCACTACAGTTATTTTCCTGGGCCAGCCACCACTGAACTTTCTAATGATTGTACCTATGGTTTTGTTGATTCCGAACTCTTCAGCTATACTGGTCACAATATGCCCCTCCTCCAGCTTTCTGATCATTCTTCCACATGCGAAGTCATTCAGGTGATTTCTTTTAGCCATATTTCATGAAAAATTCATTTGCACTTGCAGCAAATGTCTTTAAGCAAATGTCCTTCCTTTCATTGTACTCTTGAAATGAGCACGCCGACCGGACACGTTTTGCGTACGCTGCCTGTGAAGTTTTCTTCCCAATATTTGTATATGCATCATCTTTCTACTGAATTGCATGTTCATTGTACTAATCGCAAGAACCCCTTTTCTGCAATTTCATGGCTATCTGATTAAAATTTACATTGTTGCTTAAGTTTTGCACACTAGTGTACACATACAATACAGTCATAAGTCGTTAATCCGGGCTCGTCGGGACTTCGATTCCGGATTATCGATTTTTCCGGATTATAGATCATCAGTTTAAATCTCGTAAGATGGCATGCAGAAATTCTAAAATTAAAAATAAGAAACAGTAATTTATGAAATAAAGAACAATTATGATCTAAAGGGTATCAAAATTTGCAAAAAAAAAAAAAAGCTTAATATTTATTTGTTTACTTTAAACATTTCTTTCAATGTAAGTTGTTTAAGTTTCTTCGTTTTATGTGATAATACTTTCTCTTTAATTCTATAAACAGACATAATTTCTTGTTCAGTTACAAAGTTCCGCTGTTCAAGTCCCGTTAATTGCTGTGCCGAGAATACCGACTAACTTGTCAATCGAAATTTTTTCGTTTTCACTAACCTCTCTGTAACATTCTTCATGTCTTTATCCATTTTTTGCAGCAATTCCACTTTTTGTTTGATGGACATCAAAAACATACTTTCGTTTTGTACGATCCTTTGGGAGCTCCAGAATCGGAAATTCTATTTGACATAATCGAAAGTTCAAGTTTACTTTTATAAAATTACTCTTACAGTCTGCAAAAAATAATAAGCCGCATCCAATTCAAAGATTAAGGAGCAACGCAATCATCAACATTAACTAAAATAGATAATTAGATAATTTTAGCTTATACCGTCCGTTATACATTAAACGCGCACGCGAAAACGTATTCTGCGCTTGCGCACACGCCTATGCGCAGTCGTAAAGGTCTTACGTGTACGCATAAACGCCTAGGTGCATGTGTCAACGCGGCACATGCGCAGAAAGTTTTTAGCTTTGAGGTCCAGATTATGGGTGTTCGAATTAATGACTTTTGACTGTAGTAAGATTTATATCAGTTAATAACTTTATTATCATAAAATGATATTACTTTTCTCACAGCTCTATTATATAATAATTAAGTACTTCTCTTTTAAGATTATCTTCCCTTTCTTAGAT